AGCAGTTGGTATCCCTAGCTGGCCCCCTCTCACAGCCTGGGAGTCAATTACCCCTGAGCTCCTTCAGAGCCTCATTGAGAGTATGCAAGCTCGTTGCCAGGCAGTAATTGATGCTGAAGGAGGTCACACAAAGTACTGAGATTTGTATGTAACAAAAGACTGAATGGAGATTAGTCTACTTCAATCTCCGGAGGCAACACCCCTGCTGTGCATTGGCCATGTACACTACTTTTGCCGGATACCATAGTAGGTAACCACCCTGCTGTTTTGTTCCGCGGAAGTGTATGCCAGCCTACTTCCCACGATCAAATCAACAAGCTTGTTGGCCTCCCAACACCACTTTCGAGCCTCACGAGCCGCATCAAAAGAAGTCGCTAGCCTAATGTTGTATCTTGGGTTCCGCTTGCTGCACTGGATGAAGTCAATGGCATTCGGCGTTTTCGATGACAATAGTTTACACGTGGGGTATACACTGATCTACATATTGCTACATACCTATTGTACACCCTAGTATTTATGCCGTCCTGTCGCTGTGCACCTCTACTTCCTCCTCTTTCTTTGCGGTCTCGTATCGCTTGCCTCGGAAAGCGTACACCCCCCAGTTACTGCACGTAACATCATGTGGGTCCAGATCGTTCAGGTCCCATCTCAGACTCCTGAACAGGTTCTCTCCAGGCTCGAGCAAAATGTCCATCTCGTTGCCGTAACGCTTCGTGAGGTGGTCAATGTCCTGTTGTACATCCCACGGCGAGTATCCAGTAGCGATGATCGGCACCTTGGTCTCGAGGAGCAAAGGTAAAGTCTCCTCCCACTCGTGCATCGATGCTGCGTTGCCAAAGCCGGGGTGGAAGACGACGAAGCAGTCGAAGTAGGGATCGTACGGGTAGAAGTAGCCGGTCTTGTGGATGTTGTGGTAGTGTTCGACGAAGGTGCTGATCTTCATAGCGTTGGAAATGCGGTCTTCGATGACGGCGCCGAAGGGGTTGAGAGGTGTGCGCTCGGGCAGAGGCAGTTCCTTCTCACGGTTCGCCATGGCTTCAGGGCCAATGAAGTGTAGGGAGAATTGGACACGGTGGAAGAGGTAGGCCAGCTGCATCCAGGTCTCTCGCGGTAAGGACGATTCAGCGCGTGCGCCGAGAATGAACAAACGGACCGATGGAGGAGCAATACGGGCGTTATTCCAGGTGTCACCGCCACCGTTTCGTGGTGGGTGCAGGGTATGTCGCAGGGCTGCAAGCATGTCAGTTAGGCTAAAGCTTCACACGCATCCATATCGACCTACCGCTGAAGCTCTTGAGTCCCTCAGGGGTCATTCTGCCACCCTTACGGATATTGTAAGGACTCAGTTCGTTGATGACACTGGCAATGGTCATTGGGTAGGTAAGAAGCTTTGTAGCTTGTCTCATCTCCCGGTCCTTGTTGAGCGCATCGAAGTCCCGAGTGTACAAGTATGTATCCCAGCTCGTCATGTTCACAAGGATCTCCTCCATTTGGGGCTCAGCGAACTGGAACTCCTTGAAGAATCGCCCACTGCGCAAGTCATGGTCGTCCTCATTCGACTGTCGTAGTACATCGCAGACCTCCAAGTGCGCCTCATAATCATCCGCCCAATGCTCCTCGCAGCAATAAACCGGTATCCCGCAGTCTGGGCACTCAAAGTTCACATGGGCGGGCGGGGACCCCTTCTCCGATGACTTGCGAGCCTCAAGATCCATGGGGTTCTTTGCTGCTCGAGTCGGCTTATGATCAGGGTGCGGGCAGTATGCATGCTGGCGCATGAAAGCCGCTCTTTTGCGAATCTGCGGTATAGGCGAGTTCGTGAACGAGTTGAAGAGGTTGTCCTCCGTCAAGACGAGGGTTCGCTTGATACCCTCTGGATCGATGTACTCATACGGTTCGAATGGTTTATCGAAACTGCGATTGGGCGTAGTCGAGAGCGCTCTTCGAGGGGAGGCCAACTTCGATGGTGCTGGAGTTTTGGTGGAGTGATTTCGCTGCGATGTAACATTCTGGGCGAAGGAACGGAACGCTTGCGCAGGTCGCAGCTGGGTGCGCGAGCTCTTGACAGCGGACAAGCATCGCGTGCAGGTATACGAGGGCCTCATCCTGATCAATTGGCCTTCGATAAGGGACGGACAACAGCTGCAGCGCGACACATAGGATGATGATCCATAGAAAGCTACCGCGCTAGTGTCGGTGTTTTGGTGGAGCTTGCGCCGACACTCACGTGACTCGTCGTGCATCTGATAGCTTTGGTATCTTTAGCTGCAGCTTACCTTGAAACATATGATAGGCCTTATTAAACTGAAGGAGATGGAAAGCTATGAGTACTAGAAGCCGGTCTCTTTTCTAGTAACTCTTGATTGCGAACGTTGCTCCGCTTCTGAGCAACCAGCCCATTATTGTACTTCTATATCTGAGCTGTTCAGACATATCAAATGCTCTCTCTCTGTTAAGGTTTGACCAATATGCCGTCGTTTCTAGAACTCGTGGAGAGCTGAATACGTTCGAAGGCATCTCACGATGGTGTGCACAGGAGAAGCAACGACCGGGTGTCCTGTACGTCAGCTGCACGAAGCGAACAGCGCTAAAAATAGATGCAGCTGTGCAGCCTTGAGGAGGATTCCGCCACGAATTCTTCAGCCTCACCGTTGATTGATTGATTGATTGATTGGTTTAATGCCTCACGGTCGACTTCCTGTCGTGCTGCAGTCAAAGCCAAGGGTAAGCTGGCATCAACGTTGTTCGAGACACAGTTCATATCGAAAAGCACAAGGCTGAGCTAATGACGACCGACGGCCGGTACCTAGTACCTGTATGTACATAGCACTTCTTGACTCTACCTCACTAAGGATTGAGAGATTCGTATTCGCAACCATCTGTGGCTGATTTCTGCTCTTACTGAGATGAGGTCCAGTATGTATTGACGATAAGCTGAAGATGTCGAATCAGTTGAGGTTGAGGCGTGGTCGAGCAGTATACTCATGCATGATCCTCTGCCCTAGCTGCTATTCATCAAGCACTGCCACCGCCCGCACTGTCAGCAATTCCCACTGGTGTCTAGTGGATCTCTTTAGGTCGCGCTCACAGCGTGTTACGGGTCGCATTGCTCCATTCGCTGGAATCTCTGCAGGTGCGGCTGCCGGGCTGAAGAAGCTTGACCTTTTGCTTGAGCAATGCGCGTCCACATAACAACAATGTCTCACGTTTTCGGATAGAAGCGCCTCTTGCATTTGAGCCTACTGTATCAGTGTCCGCTAATCGCCTTGTCATTCTTAGCGGAGGCCATTATCGTTTACTTCGCCCCGCATCTCCCCATTGTGCAGCTTCCCGGCATAGCTCCAAGCTGCCAACCGCCAAAACATGGTTCCCAAACCCTCGTGGCTAAAGTCGAACAAGTCGCACACATCTGTTGACAATTCGTCTGGGCAGCATTCACCTGTGCCCTCTGGTAAGTGCGCGGTTGGATACCCAATAGTCTTAGAAGGTCGTGCGGCTGACAGTACGCGCTGGCACAGTGAACAACGAATTCCAGAATCCCAACGGGCAGCAACAGGCGCAGCTCGGCCAGCAGCCCTCTTTGCAGCAGCCTCCTCTCGGTGTTGCCCAGCAGCAACAGCAGTACAGACCGCAGCAACAGCAGCAGTATCCCCAACGTACGACCAGCACGAGTGCCAGTCACCGCCTTAGCTCGCACGATCAGCTGCAAGGCTACCAGCAACAAGCTGGGCCTCCTGACCCCTCACCTGGCTTCGATCAGTCTCGTCCCAGCCCGCAACAGTTGCCGGCGCCCGTATACACGCAGGAGCAGCCCAAGAAGTCGCGACTCAGCCGTATTGCTGCTGGACTGACAGGGCACAAGGAGGACGACCCCTCGAAGCAGGCGAACAAGAACGCAATTGGAAGACGCCAGTCGACAAGAGGCAGGGAGAATCGACCCCAGGAGTATCCGACGCAGGACGCGCCCCGTCTGAATACGCCGTCGCAGCAATATCACCAGCGGCACGGTTCCCAGCAACAGCTGCCCACCTCAGTCGAGCAAGACGAAGGGAGCCCAGGCCTCGACCCTTTCCTCCAGCAGGACCCCAATACGCCTGAAGTACCCCCAAAGGACCTTCAATACCAGCAGCACCCACAGCAGTTCATTCCGAACTCGCACCAGGGTCTGCACAACCGGCCCCCACTCGACAGAGTAAGCACTGAAGGTAGCTATCAGAAGCAGGGCGGGGTAGAGCACTACAACCCCGATCAACACCAGGGTCCACAACAACCACAACAGCAGGCAAATCAGCAGCAATACCAAAACTACCAGCCGATTGTCCAACAATCTCAGGGCTCAGACAGTTATCAGCCCTTTGCTCCACAATCGGCACCGAGCCCTCGGCCTGGAAACGTTCAGCTGCACGGTCAGGATATTGCACAGCAACAACGCAACTACTATCAATATCAACAACAGCAAGCTTCCCAGCAAGCTTCCCAGCAAGCTCAAGGGCAATCACCGCAGGACGGCCATCCCCAGAGCAACCAGTTCCAACAGCAGCAGCAGTTTGCGCCGCCACCCCAGTCTCAGCTACAGCAAACTCAAGACTTCCGTCAGCAGCAGGTCCACCCTGTTCGAACTGCATCACTGCACCAACCTGAGTTGCAACACCCCCAAGCAACTCGTGGTGTGCCTCAGATAGTGCAGCAGGGCCAACCTATCGACACGCAGCAACTGCAACAGCTACGGCCACCCTCTTCTCAGCAACAGCCAGCCCCACCTTCGCCGCTGCAGCATCAGTACCAAAGCTACGATCAACAGCAGTACCAACAGTCGCAAGCTTCGGATTCACCAACGTCGAAAATCTCAGCTCAAAACCAAAGTCAAGATAATATGGCACCTGGCAGTCAAAGCAATGGCAGGTTACGCAAAGTGGCTGATGGGGGTCAGCAGCAGTCCACGACTTCGTCTCGAGAGTCTTCACTTCTACAGCAACCTACAACACAAGGTCAGCCACAAGGACCGCCACCTGTGTCGCCAGGCGTCGCAACATTTGGAGCTAATGTCGTACCAACAGCTTCGCAAGGCCAGCCTTACCGAGGTGACAAACAGAGCGGAGAGACAGGGCGTGGAACGCCTCCACCACGATCGGCTGCCAGTGATTTGGATCCAGAGGACATTGAGAAGATGATGAAGGAGCACGAAGTTCTGCGTAAGTGTTTGCGGAAGCAAGAAGAACCATTAGCTGACTTAAGAAGGCGAGAAATACCAAAAGGTGAAAAGGTACTTCTTTGAGCAGCAGACCCAGGTACATCAGCTGCAGAATACTCTGGCAAACCAACGTTTGTCTTTGTCACGCACGTCGTGGGACGACAGCGAGTACGCAACTCGCTTTAACAGACTTGATGGCCTAATTGCGCAACTATCCTTCTCCATTCGCAAAGATTGGAAATCGATCCCCATATGGTTACACCCAGTGGTCAACAAGAATGCGGTAGAAATTGGCAAACAGGAGATGACTGCCGTTGGCCGTGCCTTCATCTCGCAATGGCTAGTCGAAAATATCTTCGAGAAGTACTTCCATCCCGATCTAGAACCTGGCTTCTCGACTCAGCTCCAGATGATCCAACTCAACATCCGCAAGTTCGCGCCCTCGTGTCATTCTACCGAGGACGAAGATTCGCTGGCTGCGAAGGTTATCAATTGGCGATTGGCTACACTCGAAGGTCTGTCAGATCTGCTAAGAGCGCCACAAGCCGAGTCGAACCGTCAGAAGCTGACAGAAACACTGAACGAAAAGCTCATCGCATCACTGCAAATGTTGTTGAACGATCCAGCACCTCCTGATCTGGCTGGTGGTGTGCCCATGATTGTCGAACTGGCTGTCAGTATCGCTCAACATCTGCCTCTAGAGAGTCGAGAGGTCCACATCGAGTATTTCCCGCCTGGTCATGGCATCGTTTCAGAATTTATGAAGATAGAGTCTGGTATCCCACCCTTGACAAGCCCAATCAAGGAGGTAGATGAAGCAGATCGAGTCTCGCTGAAGAGTGTAGCTTCCAAATTGGACGACAATGCATCCGTTGGCGATCAAGACATTCAGGGACAGCAAGGATCACAGCTGCCAAAGGAAGACAAGAAGCGTGGCTTCTTCGGCGGATTGAGTGCCTCGAAGAAACCTACGACTGCACCGGCATCGCTTGGTAAGCGCGAATCATCTTTGGGCCAAGGTGGCAGCCAGCAGAGCCTCACAGGGCCGCCTGGGAGCTCGAGCGGACAGAAAGATGAGCCACCTTCACCACGAGTGCGTCTGGCTGTTGGTGTAGCAGTACAGATCAGAGGCAAGAGTGTTTTGATCAAAGCACCTGTCTACAGCACTTGAGTGTGACGCTTGGATTGGATGTAGAGAGGATATGGACATGGTCTCCTATTTCGCTTCTTCATACACGGGATGTGCAGATGGCGGTATCTTTGAAAGGCACCACAGCTAGATATTGAGCGTCGATGCCTGGAAGATTGTCGTTGTATTTAGCGAGCGTTGGATTTGATGATGGATTTGATGTGCATGTACCGATACCCTCGCTGTTTCTACGGTTGAGCAAAGCATAGCAGTAACGATGAAGCTTTCGAAGTTCTTCGACATAGTTTTGCGTGAGCTGAGGTGGGAGAGGCCAAAGTGAATGAACTTCGGACTGCCTGCCATTGTGATTGGTCGAGACCTAGCTCCGTTTGCTTACCGTGTGTCAACACCATCGTTACTTCCCCTCCACCACACCCCGCTCAGACGAATGGAGGATGCAGAGATCTCTTCGCTCTACAAAGGTACACAATTGGCCTGGATGTTGCTCTTGAAAGTCTACTGACCCGCTCCAGCGACATCAGTGTCTGTCCCCTCTCCGAGCGCAACACACACGGCATGCCTTTTGAATGGCCGGTTGCAAATACGATGCCTCACAACATTTGAGATACAAAGAAGCATAGTTCTACCACCGTATGTTGATACCAAGACCGCTCGCCTCGTATGGTCTCCACCTGCCGCTCCTTCACACACATCCTCTGTGCCAACCTCATCACGCCGCGCGCCACGTCCCAGCTCCAACCGCGTCCTCATCCACGATGACAACACGGCACGTGTATACGACTTGCGCGACGCCAAATGGAACGCGATCATTAACAATGGCTCTGGCGGCATGGGCAAGAACGTGCACCTCGAATTTGGCGCAAATGAAGACGAGGTCATTGCGTGGAGCGACTTTGGAGCTTGCGCAAAAGTTTGGTGCCTAACTTCTGGGAGAGCAATCGAGATTCGGGATCCGAAGTTTTCCGGCAAGGAAGGCAAAGGATGGGGTTTCAGACCCTCCGGCAGTGAGCGAGCAGGAAGAGGAGGCGCTATGGCTCTGCTGTGTCGAACGTCAGGCATGGATGTCTTGATGCTGATTGCGCCGCGCACTTATACACTCATCAACCGAATTGAACTGCCTACGATCGATGCGGCGGGGCTGAAATGGAGTCGTGATGGTCGCTGGATCGCAATTTGGGATGCGCCGTCGACGGGATACAATCTGTACATTTATACCGCCGACGGGCATCTTTACCGCACGATCACTCGCGAATCGACGAATGATGCTAGTGAATGGGGCGTAGAGGGTTTGGGGATCAAGAGCGTGGAGTGGGTGCCTGGTACAGAATGGCTGGCAGTGAGCGGCTGGGACCGTAGGGTGCGCATTCTGTCGACACGAACATTCGCGCCTGTTGTCTTCCTGGATCATACCGCTTCAATTGATGTCCCTGGCGCACCTGTTTTCTCTGAGCAGGTCGACGGGCAAGCGAACAGGACATACACGATCACGCCACAGCCCGTCACCCCGCCGAAAGCACCACTGGAGAAAAACGAGACAAGTCTTATGAAGCAAGGCATCAGCATTCTCGCCTTCAACAGCGACGGCACATTATGCGCAACAAGGGACGACTCGACACCAAGCACAGTATGGATATGGGATCTTCACAGCTTACGACCTCGGATGATTCTGATTCAACACGCACCGATCAAATCGCTACAGTGGCACCATGACTGCTCTACGCTCCTTCTCATCCAAACAACACACGACTTACCTACATTGTACCTGTATCAAGCCTCCAATCTCTCAGCCTCAACATCCGCCTCAACCTCAGCATCAGCACCTCCCCCAGCCATCCTCGACCTCTCCTCTCACATCAACAAGCCAGCCACAGCCCTGCCAACGAAGTGGACAATATCATGGCTATCCACCTCGAACGACAAGAAACCCGTCTTCACACTCGCCCACCAAGCCGGCTACATATTTAGCTGGCCGTACGGCAAGGACGCAATCCTGCGCTTCGACACCCCAGACGGCAGCGAAGCCAGCGAGGACAGCTTGTACGACATCTTGACTGGGCGAACACCGGTGCCGAGATTACCTGATAGCGATGATCCGGCCCTGGATGATAGTCTGCTGGCGGAGCAACAGCTTGTCAGCGAAGAAGAAGGGTATAGGATGAGCTTCGAGGACACGTTCAGAGGCAAGATGAGAGAGGACATAGCGCAGAGGAGAGGGGGGAGTATGCTAGATGAGAGTGGGTTGGATGAGATGTTTTGAGCTCGCCTTCACATGTACAGATTTTAGATGCGGGCTATGGCGTACGGTGTTGTAATTTCGACCTGGAACAACGAGATACCCTTTGCCTCCTTTCCACAATCCAAAACTATACAAACCTTGCACTCCCCGGATTCTTGACTCGTCTTCGCCACCCTGCATTACCGAACATAGCAACTCCCCCAAAATTCATCGAAAGCCTCTGCGAAAAGGGCCGCAACCGCGAAAAAATCCTCTGATCCACTTTCCCGTTCCAGCAACATTCTGATTCCCATCGAAAACAGGTGGCGTAAGAAGGCCCCCGTCTGCCATCCTTCAATCCATATCAGGCGCTCCACTGCTGAACTTGCCTGAAATAGCAACTCTTGAGTCTGACGATCACGGTGCGCTAGAATTGCCCTCCCCATGCATCACGACCAAGTTAAATTGGCGAGTGGGCTGGTGGGGAAGACTAGCGCCAACGCCCACGTTGCGCAATGACATCATAACCGTTCCGGGCAACGGTGACGCTTGATTGTTGAAACTTGAAACCTGCCATGGCGAGCGCTAAACATGGTGTAGGTGTAAGGCTGAGGGGGTACATCATATATCAGACAGGTGGAAGCTAGCTGGGACTCGTACCTGATCTTCCATCTAATTCGATTTACACAAGCTCTACCATACCAACCGAACCGCATTCCCAAGCATAGAAGAGCAGAAAACCAGCAGTCATGGCCAACAAAGAAGAGAAGCCTCAGGAGCAGCCCAAGGGCGGCGACCACATCCCTACAGACACCCCGGAGGAGGAAGAAGACACCCAGCCCAAGGGCCTCCTGAGCAAAATCGGTGACCCAGTCGGTACGTCCTTTTCCCTCTTCCTCCCCATCCCCCACCCCACTCCTCCCTTCCCCAACCCACCGCACGCCACCCTACTAACATCTCCCCTCCTCAGGAAACGTTCTAGGCACAGCCCTCCGCCCGATCGGCGCGCCCCTTGAAAAAGGCGTGACAGGGCCCTTGGGCAACGCAATCGGCGGTACCACACGACCAGCACTCGGTCCCTTGCTGGGTGAAGATCACGAGAAGAGCGAGTTGCTGGGCGGGAAGAACAAGGACAGCTATGAGAGCAAGCCGGAGAGCGTGGCGGGGAAGGAGCAGACAGGGCAGAATCCGCTGGGCTTGGATCAGACGGGGCGGTGGGGGTTTGAGGATGAGAAATGAGGGTGGCAAGAGGATGAGGGATGATGGAATGGCCTACACGTTTGATACTTGAATGAAGTAATGGAGCAATGAACGAAAGATTCAGTCTATTGGTCGTGCTACTGTACGCTTTTGCGCGTCGTGCGCTGGCTCTGTAGAAGCACTCTGAGCCCTGCGCCTCAGGTGGGTCGGCCTCAGCGGTGCCTGAGCCCGTTGCATGAAATCGTGGAAGAGCAAAGGAGAGAATCAAAATAGATGACTTTCATGAGGAAGCTGCAGGCAGCAAATCCCTTCGCCGTAGCCACAGCCCGCTAACGTCTACGCCGATGTTCAACGCGTACCACGATATTCAAGCGATCTGTGGGCATAAGTAAGTGAATGACAGTTTGAGGGGCAAAGCACTTACCGATCAGTGTTCGGCCCCTCAACCCTGAACCATAGGTATACTCTTAGGATCGACGACCTCGGTAGTCTGAAGCTGAAACATGACTTTGTCGACAACCTTGCCCCCTTTGTGCCCGATCTGAGCAAATCGACCGGCCTTCTTAAAACCAAAGTCTCCAAGATAGCTAGTAGCCCACTCGACATCGTCACCTCGTTCATAGTGTAGAGTCGCCAGGATGGTCTTGACGACGCGGCTCTTACCGTTCTTCAGGTACTCGAACTCATTCACCCACTCGTAACCACCTTTGATGTTGTAGCCGGTGTTGGCGATGTACATCATCCGATCGAGCAGGCACTTACCGATACCCTGACGGATGTAGCCCGGATGTACGTAAAGTTCGAGCTCAAATGTGTACCGGTACATGCTGGTTTGGTCGACGTAGTCATCGAGGTGGACAAAGCCGACGATCGTTTCGGTCACATACCCTTGCGGGCCTCTGCGTTGGTTCCGTTTGGCAACTGCAACGAGGAATGGTAGACCGACCTTGATAGTGTCATCGATACGGCAACGGATGTTTTCCTCAGTTCGCTCTTCGAGCTCGTGTGCATGCACAGTATGGTTAACGTAGTGGTTGTATATCGTCTACAGGATGGGTCAGCTAGATTTGTACAACAAACGGACTGAATCATTGTGACTTCGATTTAGATGCTTACCATCACGCCGCAAACATCAGCGGGCTGAATGGGGCGGAGATATATATTGGCTTTTGGCTGCAAACGCCTGTCTGGCCATTGAGGCCCTTCGTGAGCGGATGTGGGTATCGGCTTGTTTCGCCTTGCGTGAGCACGACGCGCTTTGCTGTCCTTGATTTCCTTGATTCTTGCCAGTCGTTCAGTAGTACAGAGCATAGCGAATGGACTCTCCAGCTCATTATCAGAATCCTTCGGATCGATCTTCGCTTCTGGAACGACCAAGCTGGTCATGAAACAGCTATCGGGATGGTCGTCTTCCCATCGCTCCCAGTACGGCGGATCTTCCATGATATCGACGTCGCTTAAGGTTGCAGGCGCGCGCTGTGGGAGTTCTTCCCAGAATTTGCGTGGGGCGGCTTCATCGATCAGGTCGTGGAGCCAGTAACGTGGTACCAGATCTTTGTTCAGCCACCCACCATCGGCCTTCTCTACACCCGAGAACACTGGCGAGTCAATGTCCATGAGCTTGGTGCAGTTTCGGCTGTGCTCATTCGCCCACTGTTCGATGACTTGGCCGAAGTGACGATGGGTAAAGCCCTTACGGGCAGCCCATTCTTCTGGTGGCGGGAGCCAGTCACCATTCCAGTCCATCAACTTCTTGACATCGTATGAGGGGTCTCCTTCGCTATCAGACTTGAACGTGACTCCGCCATCGCTCTGACTACCGGTGGATAGCTCTCTGGGAATCTCGCTTTGCTTCGGCCAGACGTGTCTTTCCTTGGGTGGTTTCGGTGCTCTTGGCCAACACGGGTTCCCATTCCGCCTTGTAGGGGCGGGAGGCTGCTCTGGTACAGGATTGTCGCAGCCATTCCATCCTCCGGCAGGTTTTGACGGCTCTTCGACTGTCGTTGGTGGAGAAGGTGGGGTATGTTCTTGAGTGACAATCTCATGACGGTTATCACTACTCTATGTAAGTAATACGAACTGATATTCAAGCAGAGAGGCCAGAGTGACTTACGGAGAAGCTTGACTTTGAACAGGCTTCTCAACCTGAGATTTGACCGAGGCAGGTGGAGAGCCAATGCCAATAAAGTCTCCGAGTCTGACCTCAGTCTTTGCTACGGCTGGTGCAGCAGCACGTTTGCGCAAGTGGGGTGGAAGGTAAACACCTGAAAGCTTTGTAGTCATGTCTTCAAGCTTGGGCTCTCCGCGAGGCTTTCGTTATTTACGGGTTGCGCGGGGCTTTTTAGAGATACTGCCGTGACCTTGTGGTGGAGGTGGAGTGTTGGTCGGCGTAGATTGTTTGCTGCGCTGAGGTGAAGCTCAGGTACGTGCCTTGCTGTGTGCTTTCGGTTGGGTGTTGTGAATCTGAATATCTGGCTGCTGAATGACTGGGGCGTGGTCGGTTGCTGTAGCTTCCGGTTGCGTTTGTAGCAGCTTCGCGGTCGAGAGGCAAAAACCTCGGAGCTTTGCGACTGCGTCTGCGCCGCTGAGACTGCTGTTGTGAGTCAGTGTGTGCGATGAGAAGTAGCGACGAAGATGGCGAGTAGAAGTGAGCGCGGACTATCACAAGGTATAGCAGATCCGGTTTTGATCGAAGAGGAGTTGGTGGAAGCGGTGTGGAGCCGAAGGTGAAGCAGGTGACAAGGCACTGAAGGTTACTCTCACCTACATTTTTTGTGCCAAGATCTTCCTGTTGCTGCCAGGTCAATCGCTCATCAGATTTGGCTTTCTTCTTTTGGTGAGGCCTCATAGCCGTGAGGGTTGGCGGTGCAGCTGCTGGAGCCATGCCGGCGAGAGCATAGCGCGAAGTGAGCCATGACAGGCAGGCACGACTGCAGCAACTCGAGTGGAAGTGTCGATATTTGAGAAGGGGCACACTGCGAAAGTAAGAGTAGAGGTAGAGGCTAAAGCAGAAACTTTTCACAATAGAACAGAGGAGGAATTGAAACGTGACTAAATGATGACCCTGGTGGATCGATCGTAGCTCACGGCGAGAGAATCTTGTTGCAGCCTTGTCACCGCCCATTACCCTCTTTCTGGGGTCCTTTTAGAGTAACCTGGCGTTCCTTCCTCAAGACCATCTAAGTCAGTCACTAGATGCTGGACCCTCATCAACTGCGTGAAGCAAGTTCGTGTACGTCGAAAGCACTGCCCGCTAGAGCCACACCGGTTCGCTGGCTTCTGTCACTCTTTTACGCTTACGCAGGTAACTTGGATTCTTTCAGAATGGCCAGACAATATATATCATAGTGCTGGAAACGGTAGACTTCGTGCCCAAAGGCCATAGTCAATCAAAAGATCGAAGTCAACTGCCAGTGCCCAGTATCGTTTTAGTGCCATTTCGAACGCATGTTTTTTCAACAAGCCCAATGTGCACAAGCCATCCGTTATAGAGCCCTGTTGGCAGATGGGAGGCAACTCTCCGTTTGCCGAAAGCCCTTGCGGTGCACAGGGCGATTCGTTGAGGGCAACAATTCGGTGTTGTTGAGGCAATGTTTGCCGAGGGGCAGCTCCACCCGACCTTCGAAGTTGGCGCCGCGTGCCTGATGGATGACAAAACGAAGACATCGAAATCAGAGAGATCGAAATGTTGTCAATATTACGGAAAGCGCGATTGAAGGACAAGGAGATGCGTATCTTGATGCTGTGGGTGTTTGAATGCCCAAATCACGCTGCTGAACACTGATTGCAGAAGGGGCCTAGACAACGCAGGAAAGACGACCATCGTGAAGAAGATCATGAACGAAGACGTGAACAGTGTCAGCCCAACATTAGGCTTCATCATCAAGACAATCGACTATGATGGGTACGTCTGCTGGTCCTGGCTCAATAATAGGAGATGCTGACAACGAAGATACAAACTAAATATATGTACTGACCCTGCTTGATCCCGGAGATGCATCGACTGACTTCTCAGGGGATGTCGGCGGCCAGAAGACGCTGCGCACATACTGGAAGAACTATTTCGAGAAGACAGACACGCTCATATGGGTGGTCGATGCCACCGACCGTGAGCGCATAGGCGATTGTCGGCATGAGCTGGCAGGGCTACTGCTCGAGGAGGTGCGCAACCAGATCATTCCTCATCATACATGCTGACAACAGCAGCGACTATCGGGCGCGAGTCTGCTAGTTTTCAAGAACAAGAGCGATGTTCCTGGCGCCATGAGCGAGGACGAGGTGCGCAAGGTGGGTGCTGACGTTGATGTTGGGACGCGTTGCTAGGCCAATGACACTGACGGCACGCAGGGACTCGGACTCGACGCCATCAGAACACACAAATGGACGATTATGAGCTGTAGCGCCATGACGGGGCAGAACCTGCAGGAGGGGCTCCAGTGGGTGGTACAGGACGCAAAGGCTCGACTGTTCCTGTATTGATGTGTATCGAGCACTGCATGGGTGCAAGGGGCGCTGGATAGTCGCAAGCTAAATCCGGGTAGCGGTGGTTTGACACAGGCCGCCAACTGCTTCAAGTGTGGAGAACGGCTCAGCGTGGTGCACGTATAAACAAACATCGATTGCAAGCAGCTGCGCAACCTGTGACCATCCCACCTCTGCCATTGTGCCCCTCGTGCTCGACCTTGACCGCCGTGGGTTCGAGCAGACCAGCGTTTCAGCGCAGTCGAAACACATCCGGGGACAGTGACAGGACGCTCAGGCCAAGCATGCACCGAGTACCTCGAAGCAATTTAACGACTGTCTAGCTTCGATACCGTCCGGGATTGCCTTACTGCCGAGCAGCTTCATTCTTGACGTGTTGCTGTCTTGGAGCACGGCCGCATTGGGAGCAGTGTCTTAAGTGTGTTTACCTTGAGGGTCATCCACCGTTGAACGGTTGTTTGTCACCATGTCCGAGGAAATTGACCCGCAAGAGTTTGTGCAGCGCATCCGGCAGCTGGGCGAGCAGCGGGACCAGCAGGATGCAGAGAGAGTCAAGAAGCTCGAGGAGGACCTGATTCAGGGTCGCAGCGAGCGGTTAGCGCGCAGAGCAGGTGGGTGCATGTCTGTTTTTGTGTTGACTCCACTGATGTTTTGCTCAAAACAGAACGAGCGCGCTCCATCTCCCCCGACAAACCGACAACGCCGCAGTCGCTGCACCGCTCTTCAGTGCACACTCCGCAACAGGTGCAGGAAAAAGCGGCCAGCACCCCCACGCCCGCCATGAGCCCGCCGTCGCAGCAGGACGAAGCAGCTGCACGCGAGGAGTCGCTGCAGCAATTGACGAGCTCCCCCACGCCCACAGCAGACGACAGCGAGCCCTCGAAGCCGGCGACGAGTGCCGCGGCGTTGGGCCGCTCAGGGACACTCTCGTGGAAGCAGCGCCCGCTGTCTGGCAGCATACGCCGGCCCCTGTCAGTAGCAGCCAGGCCCAGCTCCTGCGACGCCTCCACGCCTTCCTCGCCCGAACGACCGACATCGAGAGCCCAGATTGCAGCGTCATTGGGCGCGAAGGACCCCGCATACTTTCGCCAGACGGCAGATCGAGGCATTGGCTCGGCAGCATACAGGAAGAACGAGGAGGACAATGCATCAGATGCTGGGTCGATATCAGGCAGGAGGCAGCTCCCCGGCATGTCTCGCGACTCCACAGCCTCTCGAGAATCTACAATTTCTACGAAGGAGCCTGAGCTGGCCAGTCCACCCACAGAAAGCACACCGTCGAGCCGGCCCACGTCGAGAGGTGGCTCTGTGCGAGGCAGCACTGCGATGAGCAACCGCTTCTCTGCCGCAACATCGGTATCGGGAGGAGAGACAGACACAGCAGCAACACGTTCGCCCTTGCCAACGCTCGAGTCGCAGAAGTTTGCCCTGCCATTAGAACAAGGGACCACAGGGGAGGGTGGAGACAATGCAGGGGCAGCACGCGGACCGCTCATGTCGCCGACGCAAGGGAGGATATTGCCAGAGCGCGAGCGGCCTGTGTCTTCAACCAAGGGTATGGGCGGTTTCGTCTTGAGTGCCAGTCTCAAGCGCAGCGACAGCGTGAGCAAGAGGTGGAGCACCCAAGGTCCTCCAACCTTGAGCAGGCAGAGCTCCACCTTGAGCAATCGAGGGAGCGCTATGGCTGGGTTCGGCTCGTTGTCCAAGATGGAGCGTCCGACGAGTCTGAGCAGGGAGCAGTCCACCGACCCTCCTTCGCGCCCTCAGTCCAGCTCCAGCAACATCACCATGAGGGGTCTTGGCATTGACACTGCGCCGAAGGACGAGTTTGTAAGACCTGCGCTGCCGAATCGTCACAGCCGCAGCAAGTCTGTCCACTCCACGTTCAGCAACAAGGACCAAAATGAGGACGGAGATCGGCCATGCAGTCCTTCCAAGCGATGGAGCCCAAACAAGTCGAGCTGGCTCGAGAATGCACTTAACAAGCCAGAGTCGCCGAAGCTGATGGCCCCAGCATCCCCGCAACAGCCAGCGTGGATGGCCGAGCTCAGCCGTGCGAAGCAACAACGTGGGAGTGTCGATCTTGGCAAGGGCAGTCCATTAGGAACTCCGTTTGGCGAGCAGCTGGGCTCACGTCCAACATCACCGCTCAAGGATGTACAGCTCAGGCCGGTAGCTCTTCGCAAGACGACTCTTGATTCACCCAAGCTCGAGTCTCCAAAGCTTGATGCCTTGAGACTTGACTCGTCAAAGTTTGATCCTTTTGCAAAGGAGGACCCCAAGGAGGCGCAAGCTTCGCCGTCACTGGAACCTGCGGCCGAGCTGATGCCTTCATCGCCTTTGAAAGAGGAGGTCAAGACATTGGACGAGGTCAAGACTGTAGAGAAGGCCAAGCCTGCCGGGGAGACAGCTCCTGTCGAAGTTGAACCCGCGAAGACCGAGCCTCCCAAGTCTAAACCCGAGACACCAGTGGAAGCCCTTCAGAAGGACAAGGAGGCAGTACCGTCACCGGCGCCTACGAAGTCGGTACTGTCACGATTCCCGCCCGCCGTCAAACCGAAGCCAGACACTCCACCTAAGAAAGACTTTCGTGCTGGCCTGAAGTCGCGGCAAACACCTAGCACCGAAAGTCCCAAGGCTCCGAGTCAAGCGCAGTCAGAACTCCAGAACGTATTTGGAAAGCTGAGGAAGGCAGAGACGAAGAACTATGTCGCACCTGATGTTTTCAAAGCCAACATTGTCGGAGGCAAGAACGCCCTGAACTTGACTGGTGGGCCAAAGCCTACTGTGCGTCGTGACGAATTCAGAGAGAGCTTGAAGGAGAAGAGATCATCAATGCTGGAGAAAGCCCAGGAAGAGGGTTCGGTGCTCAAGCGATCAGAAAGCATATCAAAGCCCACTGAAGTACCGGAAGCAATCGCGATACGGGGCAGACTCGATCGCTCGAAGAGCATATCCAAGTTTCCCATAATCCCCAAGGAAGAGGATAAGAAGCCTGTTCCAGAAGCACTAGCCAGGAAGAAGAGCTTACGAGGAGTGGAACGACCCAATCTGGATTTGAAAGACGACAAGCCAGCATCACCAGCTCCACTGTTCGCAAAGAAGGACAGCGGCAAGCCCAACAAACTCGCAGATCGCTTCAACCCTGCGTTAGCCGGAATGTTGGCCCGTGGCCCACCTCCACTGGCAACCGAGAAGTCCACATCGAGTGTTGGTGAATTGTCCCCTTCAAGGCCTGCCCAGGAAGAGCCATCGGGACCCGCTCCTGAATTGACACACATGACCAAAGGACGCGCTCGTGGACCGAAGAGGAGAACGCCCGCAGCCAGGAAATCCGCCCCGGAGCCGGAGAAGGTTACTGAGAAGGTCCCCGAGAAGGTGAATGCCACTGTTGCTGCTGCCCCATTGGTCAAACCCAGGCATATCCTTCCTAGCTCTGAACCACCCAAGGCTAACGGAACACCAGAGGAACCCTCAGTAACTAGCAAGCCTGCCAGAGAATCCATCGGTGAGAAGCCTGTGACACCAGCCAAACCACGTCAGATCTCAGCGAAGTTCGACAAAGCGCCTACTCCGGAAGTGGCTAAGAAGCCATCATCAATTGAACTCAACAGAAGGGTGTCTGGAACACAAAGCATCCCAAAGCAGTCACCTAGGCCAGAGTCCATCGGAACCCCAAAGACAGCTTCACCGAGTGTACCGAAGAAGTCTGAGAGGATTACATCTGGAGCTTACAACGCTACACAGCAGTCACCAAAGCCAGAGTCGATCAGATCGCCATCGATCACATCAACCAAGTCACCGAAGCCAGCATCGCCATCGCCGTCCCCTTCGGTCACATCTTCCAGGTTCTCAAGGCTGTTGCCTACACCTCCACCCCAGGAGTCACCGAAGCCGACCGTGTTGAAGGAGATCCTCACTCCTAATGCTGAGGTTCCGCCAGTCAAAGACGAGCACTCACCACAAAAGCCGGGGTTCTCTTCTGTGAAAGCCGCGACAGCCCTATGGGGTCGACAGTCAACGCCCTCATCACTGGCACCGTTGAGAACAAAGTCACCGATCAAGCCTCCCACTCAAGCAGATGAGAAGGCTGCGATGAGAGATGCTGGTCTTGTGCGGTCTCCTGAACCTGGGCCTGAGCCCAAGCCCGAGTCCCCGGCTCGACCAGAATCATCCTCTTCGAAGCCTCTTCCACCAGCACCTCTGCAGCCCAAGCCTAAGCCAGCAGGTCTCGGCTTCAGTCTGAGTGGATTTGGTGGGTTCGGTGGCGCAGCATCACGCTCACAAGGGTCGAGCCCTCGACTGTCCAAAGACCTGCCAATGTCGCCGCCCAGGAGCGCAGACAAGCCACAGCCGGACACTCCCAAGTCAGCGCCTGCACCGGCAGCACCTAAGCACGACGGAATTTTTGCCGAGTTCTTCGATGAGCCTCCCGTGACTGAAGGTCAACTGCCAGAAAGCATCGATACGGTACAGGTGTTGCATTCGCCACCTTTTGATCTTCGGCCAGCCGGAAAGGTGCGCACCCAAAGGCAAGAGATTCACGAGATCACAGGAGATGGCAAGATGCTATCGATTCCACCACATGAGCAGCATGTTCTCTTCCAGAACTCGATGTACATCTGCACACATGTCTATAGTGATGCAAAGGGCGCAAAGAACACCGATGTATACCTATGGGCAGGCAACGGTATAGCCGAGTCGAACATTGAAGATGCACAGCTCTTCGCGAGGAACCACGCAAAGCAGAACCAAGCAAGGCTGCTCATTCTTCGCCAAGGCAATGAGCCACCCAATTTCTTCGACGCCCTCGGGGGTATTGTCATCACCAGGCGTGGAGCCAAGCCAGCATCGAAACAGTTCATGTTGTGCGGGCGCCGCCACCTGGGTCACCTTGCCTTTGACGAAGTCGACTTCGCGCTGAAAAGCTTCTGCTCTGCTTTTGTATACCTCATCTCCACTGAAGCCGGCAAGGTGTACCTCTGGAAAGGCCGCGGCTGCTCAGCCGAAGAGCTCTCCGGTGCACGGCTGATGGGCATGGACCTCGCACCCACAGGCGACTTCCAAGAAATCGACGAAGGCTCCGAGCCACTGCACCTCATCAACATCTTCCCCACACCCACCCACAAAGGGCCCGCGATCCCGCGCTCAGCCGACCACTGGCGCTACAAAGCAACCTCGGACCGCTACCGCGCACGACTGTACAAGATAGACCAGCAACAAGAGGCCTCGGGAGGATGGGGACAAAGCCTGCAGGTGGGTTCCTTCTTCGCGAACCTGCGCCGCAGCTCGTTTGCGCAGTCGCTTTCTCCCACTTCTACTAGCGCACACGCTGAACACGGCCCACAGACGCCCATCACTCCCAAAAGCCCGCTATCGCCAGGCGTTACGACTAAGGTTGTGGAGATTATGCCTTTTTGCCAGCGCGATCTGGAGCCCGAGTACATCTATGTGCTTGATGCTTTCTTTGAGATGTACATGTAAGTCCAACCACCCCTCGAAGGTACATAGTAGAGTGCTAATGTGGCGTAGTATCGTCGGCGCTCTGGCTCGCAGTCAGGCTCCCGCGTTCTCCACGGCCCTCATATTCGCACAGGAGTACGGCATCCTCGCCGTCTCGGAAGAAGACCGCCCCTTCATGCCCGTCACCACCATCGTCCTCGAGGGCGTACCACGCGACATGAAGGCCGTCTTCAGGCACTGGGATGACGCACTCATCCCCACCGCTGAGCTCATGAGCGGCAGTCTCAAGCGCGGCAAGAGTCTGAGGATTGTCGGGCTCGAGAAGGCTATCCAGGCTACAAGGAGGTAGACGAGCTGATGTGGACATGTGAACGGGTTGTACGATGATATGTGGCGATGTTTCTTCTTGTACATATATCTTATGCTTCAGCATCGCATTGGGCTGAGTAGGGCGTCTTAATTGATCGGTCTGGTACATCTCTGCTCCTATGGAGCGTACCGGATCGTTTGTACTGTTTGATAAGAATATACCTTCGCTTTGCTACTTCCTCTTCTCTCTCCAAACATCCATTACCAGTCACAAAAGATTCACAAGAAAAGGCGTCATGAGTATATCGAATGTAATTGCAAATTATACCAAAAACCTGATGTCACCCCCAGAAAATCCTCAAGAACGCTAGACCCTATGCAAAATGTCTCTAACCCAGAACTCTCACCCCTTCATCCACCACCCTCTCAGGATTTACTAATCTTCTCTTCAACAGCATCCAACATGGTCACGCCCCCGCTTAACACGTTCCGCGCACTGGCGTGCTGATTCTGCCACCGTGTGCGTGCGTTGTCCATGGCGGCGCCTTCTTTTGAGGCTTGGATGAAGGTGTATGAGAATGCGAAGACTGCGCATGTGTTAGCATGTAAAGGGGGAGGGGAGTGTATAGTATTGTGTGTACCGATGAAGCCGGCAAAGGCGGGAAGGAAGGACTTTGGTGCTGCCGGCATTTTGGATGTACGATGTGGATGATTTGATGTATTATTTGTTGATCTGTTCGGTGCTTAAGAAATGCTGGCTTGAGTCGTTTTGATGTTCGAAGTAGGATTGGTAGAGGAGATCTCGAGGGGGGGAGTATGTAGTTGCGGTTAATCGATTAATTGATGGTTAGACTGTTGGAAGCTGTTGTGACTAGATGGTGAGAGTAACACAGAAGCACCATAGGCTTATATCCATGCCCCAAATCCGACTCCTCCAGGCATCGTACGGCACCCGCCGACGCAGCTCAAGTCCCTCTACTCAAAGGTTGCGTGATCCCCTCATCCTCCCTACCCTCCCCTCCCCTTTCCACCCAAAGCCTCTCAGCCTTACCAAAAATATGCGAAATATCGAACGAGCGTCTACATTCTCTAAATCGTGATTGGGTCACACAAGCATCATCAGCAATCCTTCGCACCGATGGGCACATTCCCGGCAGCTGGGTCAGACGATGTTTAGGTCTGGAGAAGGCTGTGGTGGCGAGAGATGCGTGCTGGGTTGCGGGTGGGGTGACACGGTGGTTCGACTTCGTATCTCAGGCGGGATGAACAGGGTTGATGGGCATGTACACCTGCTTTACGCGAACACTCTTGAACGAATTTGAACCTTGAAAACTACCATGAAGACTTCAGTACAACGTCGATTCTCTTCTAGAAGTGATTTGGAGCGTAGACTTGCGAGGCAACCTTGGAGGGTTGTTTTGGTCGATACAATCAATGCAAGGAGGCAAGCACAGTGCGCCTTCGGCCCCGGCGCGCGCAGAGTTGCCTGAACAAAAAGACTTTAGGCTAGCATGAGTGGCTTCAGCGACAATTGAAGTTGTGGTGAATCGAAGTGCAAGGAGACTGAACAACATGTGTATAAGGCGAAAGACTCAGCTAAGTTTAGATTAGCGCACAGACACTTCCCAGCAAAGCGGTCGATCACCCGCCAGGAACCAAACCTCAACACCGTTCAGTCCATCTCTCTCATGAAAACAGACATAGATGCAGAGCGCATCATCGTTGCGATGTTTGATGTCTAGCTCGCCTGCTTGACGGCGACTTCTGCTTGTGTAGAGCTGGAGAGTCATCTCCTCTTTGATTCAGCCTCAGCTCTGCACTGAACTTTGAGGCGCCGCGGCGCGCTATTCCATTAACTTTAACCTTCCAGACGCAGCGCTATCGCATACCAACAGGTCTCAACCGATGGGCCATACTCGATAAAGACAGGTTCGACGCAGGTACCATTGTTTTGTGGCTAGCGGTCTCGACGACAGCCGCAGATATGGCTGATACGGGACCCTTGAGCTCGGCGTGGACGAGCGCACAGTGCCTCCCTTCTTCTGCTATTCTCCTTCTACCCCGGATCTGCGAGGGAACGCACTTTCTCTTCTCTCAGTAATTGATCTACTTCTTATTATTTTATTGTCTTTTGCACTCATTCACAATCATGCATTCAACGACCATAACCTCGCTCCTCGCAACGCTCACCTTCACCACCGCTCAACAAATCAACATCGACGCAGCACTTGACATCCCAGTCCCAAACCTATCCATCGACCCGCTCGCCAGCCCTCCAGCTGTCACCTACAATGCCGCAGGCGCAACCTCTTCCATCGCCGCTGCCGCAGCTGCAGGCGCAACACCGGCCATTTTGAAGCGCACACCTACGCTTATCGAGCGCCAGGACAACAACACCTGCACCAACCGCACCCGCGGCGCAGGCCCCGTCCCCTCTCCCGACACCTCCGTCGCCTTCCTCTCCTACCAGCCCTTCGCCGACTTCGCAAAGAACGCTACGACACCAACAAACTACACCTCTGCCTTCACGAACCTGCACGCCTCCACCACCGCCTCAAAGTATCTAGGCGTCGCCGAACTCTCGTCCTACGATGCGGCAAATTGCAGCACGCAATGCGACGCGCAGACCGGCTGCACGGCGATCAACGTCTTCTTTGAGCGGTCTCCAACGCTGAATCTGGGTCCGGGGTGCACAAATGCGCCGAGTAGTACGGTGATTAAGTGTGTGTTTTGGGGTGATGCGGTGACGAAGCAGAACACGGTTAATAGTGGGTATACGGATAATGGGTTTGTCGTTGCAATTGCGGGGAGTAATGGGTATAATAAGGGACAGGCGGCGCAGGATGCGAAGAAGAGTGGGAGTGGACGCGTTGAGGTCGCTGCGCTGCTTTTGGGTGCGGTGGGGTTGGTAATGGCCACTGGATTCTGAGGTAGCGTTGGTTGAGGCTGAGGGGGGGATTTAAGGAGATAAAGGTGTTGCTCTTGATGCAGAGGCTTTACGCTGTGTTGCATGCTGGGCAGCTTCTTCTCCTGTGCAACATTTCCTGATCTCTACGACCATCTAGATTCCCTTTACTTTTAGAGCTATATCAACACAAGTTCCTCTATCTTTGAATCTGGAACTTGGTGCATCTTCCATCACTGCTTGTGCTGATACCACGCTGCGCTCTCAGGGAAGAGCAAGAACATTGGAAATTTAAGATTGCATCAAGGCGACGAAAGCACAACAAGAAGATCTCGGTGCTCTGTACAGTCTGGCCAGGTGTTCTAATCAATTTGGATCTCAGCATCATCGAGTTCTTCGAACCTCTATCTGAAACCAATCAGTGGTCAGGACGCAACTCTACCACGGTACTGTTGGTACTGTTGCTGAAAAGCTTTAGCACATTGTGACCCTGATATGGTTGATTGTGTGGATGAGCCGAATTATGATCTGAATAAGGGATTTTCACTTGACCATATTCGAGCAATAGCTGCACATGCAATACATATTTCTGTGCGAAGATTGTATTGGAAACCAGGCTTTAGTCGCTACAGGGACTGGTACCGAGAGACGTGAGCATCGACATGAAATGTGAAGAGTTTTGAATTGGGCTGGTATATACTCCACAATGCAAATCAAAATAAAAGCAAATACAAGCAGGCAAGGGATGTATGATCACACATCATCACAGACATTGGGCACAGTATAGTAAAGTTTTTACTGATCCATTCAAACTATCAACCGGACCGACCTTGCGCTTCCCTACTTCTAAGCAAGCACGACGCCGATCCAATCTATATATACAACGAAGATTGATCACTATCCCGACCCAACTCAGCACACCCACAACGGGCGGCAAGAGCACCCAAACAAAGGAGATAGACAGAAGCAGAATTGAACGCCAGAACTTCCAACGACCCACAATAGGTGCAGCTTGGGATATAGGTGGACAAAGGAAATCGTACAGTCATACAGAGCAGTTTAGAAGTGAAGGTGATGTGTCTCGCCGATAGGCTGAAATGATGAGGGAGGTCGCTAAGGTGATACAAGAATGTAGATAGAATAGAGCAAGGATGTGCGGGACCGTACTAATAGTCGAGCATCGATGTGATGGCAGCTATCCTTTGGAACGCGGGATCCATAGCGGCCATCTTCCTCTCTAGGCGCTCCGCTAGCATAGCCTCGGTAGCCTCATCCGCGACGACCAACGTGAAGCGGCTGGCTTTCTCGGGGTTTGTGAAAAGGTTTTCGACAGGCGCAGAAGGAGCAGCGGACAGGGCGGGCGAGGAGCGGTATAGATCGTACTCCTCATCCTCAGCCTCATCCTCCTCGATAGCGGCCATGGTAGGCTGCTGAGACTGGACAGGGCGCTCAATGATGGGGTATTCGGGCTTGAGCTCCTCCTCAGTAGAGGCCTCGTCCTCGACAACGAAGATAGTGCTGTGACCCTTGCCAGACATGGCGGAGACGTCGAGCGGGTTGACCGGGCCCTCGGGGAGCTCAGTTACAGCAAAGACGCGGGGCTGATAGCCGTTGAAGCCATTGTTCATGTTCCAGTTTGCATTGTTGTTGGCGTTGTTGTTGATATTCAGCATCGAGAAGTCGAGCTGAGTCTCGGGAACCATGGTCATGCCAACGTGGGTGTTCTCGGGCTGCGAGAACTGGAAAGGAGCGGGGGCCGGTGCCGGTGCGGAGACAACGGGAGTTGAGGTCGACGGCATGGAAGCCAGGGGAGCCTGGGCTGAGATGTTCTCCTCGGCGACCAAATCCTCAAGGAAAGGACCGAAAGCTGTGTGCCTAAGCAGACGCTCAATGAAGGCACGCGAGCGGGCGTTCTCCTCCATCAGGGCACGGTTCTGGTTACGGAGCTCATTGGCTTCCTGAACTTTCATGGCGACCTCGCCTTCGAGCTGGCCAATGTATTCTGTGATATGTTAGCAATGTTTAGTTGACAACACTGATATTGCTTACCCTTCCTCCTCGAGCGGAAAGCGCGAGCAGAGACCTTGTTGCGAAGCTGGCGGCGCTCCTTGCTACTGAGCTTCTTGCCCTCCTCCGAAGCAAGCAGACGCTCGTCCTCGTCCATGTCCTCTTCGTCCTTCTTGGCACGGATAATGTGAGGGAGGACATTGCCGTTGGGATCCTGGGAGGCGAGAGCAGCATTCTGGCTGTCCGCACGGATCTGGGCAACGACGCGTTGGATAGTCTCCTCTGTGCGGGCATCACTCAATGGGCTAGACGTCTTGTGGCTGCTCTGAGGCGTCGGGCGCTGCTGTTGCTGCTGCTGTGCGTGCAGCTGAGCCTGCTGCCTCTGGCGTGCGATCTGCTGTTGTTGACGCTGCTGCTGGGCCTGCTGTTGTGCCTTGGCAAGAGCAGCCTGCTGCTGGTGCATGCCAGGGTAGAGCCTGACGGCGGGTACCTCCTCTTGCTGGATGGTGCTGGGATCGACGAAGTCGTCCTTGTCGTTGTTGAAGGACATGTATGTGTTTTGCACGTAGTCCATGCCCATGTTCATATCCATGCCAATGCCGCTGTTCCATCCGTCCATCATCGAGTCGTTGCCCATCATGTCAAGACCTGACGATGAGAAGACAGGGTAACCAGAGTTGAAACCGGCGTTCAGGCCAGCGATCGAGCCAGATGGGATACCAGTCTGTTGCTTGAAGCGCTCATACTCGTGGCTGGGTTTCGCAGCCTCTTGCAGATCCTCGTCGATGGTAGTGCTCGTCGGGCTTGCAATGTTCGATACTGCACTCGACTCGCGCTTGAGGCCGGGCTGTGTGGGTGATGGCAGTTGGCTGAAGTCGAAGAACTCCTGATCCGGGTCCTGGCACTGGTTCATATGAAGGTTGAAGGCAGGAGCCATGATCATCGCGGGTTGGACGGCGGTAGCCATGGTGGTTCCAAGGTTGCGTATGTGCGGGTATTTGCTGGGAAGTTGTCGTAGAGCCCTGAGGCAGGCAGAGACGTTCTTTGGGTTGCAGTGTTGGGAAGGGACCAAGGCGGTTAGTAGGCTTCAGAAGAACGCGTCAGCTCGTTTATGGGTCCGGGTTTGCCGAAAGTGTGGCTGAGTCGCTGGTTCCTCACCTCTTGTCGTTTAGTTTATGATTCGAAGAGGGGTCGAGTTTTGGAGTGTAGTGATGGTTATAGAGATAGCGAGTGGTTTGGTGGGTGTGATGTGTTGAGAGCGAGGGACGATGGGACGATCAAGGAGAGGGCTATCAGCGGTCTTTTGCTGGGGCCGGTGTGAGGCGTTTCAGGGAGGCGGAGCGCTCAGTCACCCTATTTCGGGAATAGCCAAGCTCATCCCAGCCAAGTCGAGTTTTCGGTCGATTCCTTCTCTCCGCAGTCCGGCCGCTCAGCAGTCGAGTCGGCACGGCCATCTCGAGGCCTCATGTCATGGCTGAACGATACAGAAGCCGTAATCTATCGTGCTTTGTTGACAGATCGCAGCACGAGCTCCTTCCCCACTTCACCACTTTGGAACGAGGGAAGTCATGACCGCAACAACACCGTAATTTCAGTCTAACAGATACCGGTCCCCTCATGACACTTGCGAAGACATCGAGGCCTAGCATTACGCACTTCATGCACGCGGTGGCTGCGAACTGCCGACACCGATGGCCTGCGGACGAACCCACCGTCGTTCAGCTGAGGCTGTGCAAATTCCTCGGGCGCAATAGCTGCGAAGCTGCTCTGATTGGTCGGTTTCCTTGCGCTGTCGCGAGGACCGTCCTCAGACGCTTTCTGTCACCACTCAAGGCTGATGGATGTATCTTTATCCAGCTTGTCACGTGCTGTTTACCGGTCATATCCAGCAGCTGCAAGCAGGAAGAGTAGGTGCTCACGACGTGTAGAAGCAAACATGGCATCACCGAGCCCCACACTACCTTCTACGCACCACAAACTTTTGTTTACATTTTGCAGCCTCTGGTCAAAAACGTTGTCGCTCGCAGCCAGAGCGGAGCACATGCCGTCATTACTGCTGGTCTTTCGTGGCTGACCCGCAGTAACACCTTGATTTCTCCCTCTCCGGCCCGGGGAGATATTGGGTTTCTGGGTCGACGCATGCTAACTACCGTAAAGCCGGGCCTACTTCGAAGATGCAGAAATTCCAACTTTAGATCCTTATCTGGGGTCTGCTTTCGATGACCACATCTGGAGAGAATCCTCAGGGGTACCAAGGTAATTGGCAAGTACGGCTCTTCGATGTTGATTGATTGATTGATTCAACGTCCTATGTGAGTCTGAGACTATGAAGGACGAAAAGAACATTAGCTCGTCTGGTAATGTAGGGCTTTAGTTACAGGAGGTTGAGTTCTATGAAAGTACAAGGGTTGTTGAGGGCTTTTGTCCTAAGCACGGCTCTTCGATACGTACCGTATCTTTTGAAACATGCATCAGCTAAGCGCCTGCATTCGATTATCCCAGAGAACTCATGCTGTTGACGCTTGTGAAACGTGCAAATTTCATGGCGCTGGGACATCAAAGCTGTCACTGCACAAGTGCCGCTGCGGAATGTACCGTGCATCTTCCGACCAATGAACGCTTGACAACCTTCACCCTCTCTGCGCCATTTCCAAATTGAGTATCTCAGGGGAGAAACCAGGATCCGTGTCTTCAGCAACCACCTTCGATATCGAAGAGATTGTGATGTTCGAGAACCTCTAGCTCAACGATTATGCGCTGCGCCACATCTTTTGGCCGAGAAGATCTTTTACAATTGCAGCAACCCTACAGATTAAGGACGAGCTCGGTCTTATGTCCATATAGGAAGTGAGCTTCAAAGATCGCAGGATGTGGCCGAATGCGGTACTTTTTCTGGCTTATTCGGGCTTATGCTCGTGCAGTCTTGCCTGCTGCGCCAAGTCATAAGCCATGCTCACAGCTCGATCGACAATTGGCAGATATTGGCGGGCAGGCTCCAACTCGGCCGACATCGATCTCATCTAATGGTTCAGGGCTGTATTCAGGATGACTCTGAGGCTGCAACATCGACACTGCTCTGCTGACCGGAGAACTAGTTCTACCACAGACCTGTATCAAACAGCAGCCACTAATCAAACACCAAAGCAGTCGCAGCTTCAACATCTTCTAGCAGCAATGGCAAGGCAAGGTAACCATGATCTTCCCGTACCCAGCAAACCAATCCAACGTTCACTTCGCATCTTGCCATACACCCAGACCACTCTGCTGATGATCCACCGTCCACCCGTTGACCATCAACGATCCATCTCCAACCTCTTCGAGCACCAGCATCCCCTTCACCAGCTCATATTACTCCTTCGCCAATCCTGCCCCTTCTCCGCACTCCAGCTGGACATAGTCCTCACCACTTGAGTCTCGACCACCCACTCGACCAAACATCCACTTCCAGCATCCATACCACCGCTTCACACAAACGATGAAGGGGGATGCCCACCGGCATGAAACCTACACAGCAGTGGGACTATCGCCGCCGCTACCACACCCATCCCTATGCCCTCTGCGAGTCGCACCAATAGCTTCAAAGTAAGGAACGTGAAGCGTACGCAAGATAGGAGAGCCCGGTCTCTGTAGTCTGACACGATTCGACGAGCCCTTCGGAGGGAATTGGCGAGCGGACCGCATCCGCAGGGTCTGAACTCCTGCGGAACCGAGCCGATGTCCTCTTTTCATTTCGTGTTTAGTTCCGGCAGTGACTTCACCCAACTACGATCAGAACATTAGCAATGCTTGCCAGCGAAATGACTGCGCGACCTCAAAGACAATTCACTAACTTTGGTCTGCATTCCTGAGCGTTCACCGTCCAGAGCAGTGGTAGATGGCTTTGCCGATGTTTCCCCATGCGTCCAGCGACGAGGTGTTTCAGGTCTTCTAGAACACACGCGAGTCGCGCTACATTGCCCTAAGCGGGGAAACCATCCATTTCAGATTGGTGTTGAGACGCTTTTCTAGTGCTTTACGCGTCAGAGTGCACAGAGTCGAGCGATATCGGCCGTTAAGCTTTGTCGCACGCACCGTCATGAGGGAGTAAAAGCGTGTGAAGCATTGCCAAGAGGATGTACAAGCGTTGTGCGAAGGGGATTGTACACAATCGTTGTTGTACATTGGATTGGCATGATGATGCCGGGCTACAGATACAAATGTGGTGTACAACACCTGTGTGGCTTGCTGCGCGCCACGAGGCCTGAGGCTTTGGCAGCGAGCTGACGAGTCCTCTACCGCCCTCTAATCTCAGCATCAGCGTCCCAGAAACCCATGGATCTCCTCCTCTGGCGGCCCTAGGTCCCTCGACTCATGATTCTGCTGCTCGGGTTCCCTCTGCGCGGGGGACGATTCCCATTGATCCTCAAGCTTTTGCTCAGGAGTCTTCTGCTCAGGAGCATTCGGCTCTGGCTGCCTCTCAATGGCCTCCCTCTCCTCTTGCATCCGCACCTTGATCTGTTCATCAAGCATCCTCGCATCATTTCTCATCCTGAACATATCTCCCATACGTTCCTCGTCTAGCCCAACACCCAGACTCTGCGCAACAGCTAGGAACTGCTTCTGGTCATTAAATGCGCCCGTGACGCCGCCATACGCAATGCCCTCGCCCCGCTGCACATCGCGCACAATGAAGCGCGCGCGATCGACGTCGCCGGTGGCAACGAGCGCTCTGATGACGGCCGTGAGCGCTTGAAAACCGGGGTGCTTGCCGTTCTTAGACATGCGGGTGAGCACGCTCATCATCTTGCCTACTTCGCCGTGCTCGGCGTAGCCTTCAATCGCACGGTCAAAGAATAGCTTGTCTGTGTCCGAGTGTGGAGAGTCGAAGATCTGGTGCAGGAGCAAGTCGACGGCTTCGATGGCTGGGGGCGATTGCTGGAAGTAGTAGGTGATGAGCGAGGTGTAGACGTGTGCGCTGGGCGAGAGGTTGCGGCTGCGCATGTGGTCGATGATTATGCGGACTGCAGTGTGGCTGTCGTACTGCTTTAGCAGGCGGTCGATGGCTGTTGCGTAGACGTAATTGTTAAGGCGCAGACCGCCGGCTTCGAGATCTTCGAACATTTGGGTAAGACGGCTTGCTTGATCTTCCTCGGACAGGTTATCAAGAGTGCCGTTCTCGAAGGCTGCCGTGATAAGCATGGTATGTGTCGAAATGTCCGCTCTTAACCCGCTCAGCTCCATTTGCTTGAGCACCTTGAAGGCTGTGGCATAATCGCCTGCGTGGAGGTATAGCTGGATGAGGATGTTGAACGTCCGTGTATCAGGCTTGACGTCAAATTGTGTCCCCCATCTGAGGATCTTCTGCACATAATCCACACGCTTCTGCTGGCTTATGCGAGCAGTTTTTGGCAGTTGAACAATACCGGATATAGCGCCGTTGATTACTTCCACAGATGGTTTTGTGCAGTTGTTGACAAGTTTCGCCGGTGTAGGGAGGTTCCTTGCGCCCTTGGAATTCCTTGAGTTCGAAGGAGGAGCGTTCTTGACGGTCTCTGCTGACCGCCACCTATTGCCCATCTCGTCAAGAGCTCGGAGGCCAAGATCGATTTGACGCAAAGACATCAGGCCGTGTATCCGTGTCGTCCAGGCATAATTGTCTGGTTCAAACCCTGCGCTCTGCATACGCTGCCACATCGCGTTGAAGCCGTCAAGATCTTTTGCTTTCTCACATCCTTCGAGCATTGCAACCCAGGTTGGCAGCTCAGGCTTGACACCATTCGCCATCATGTGATTCCATACTTCGACCGAGCGTCCGGCTTGTCGCAGGACCAGATACCCAGATAGGAAAGCATTGTAAATTCTAGGCGGTATCGACGTCTTGCCGCCCTCTGTGTAGTCCCTCAGAATGCGTTTCCAATGACCCTCAAGAACCACGGGTGATGTCTTCGCTTCGACTGCACGCGCTATTGCTTTAAGATTGAATGACTCCAGATCGGTGGTAGAAGGACCAGCGCGTTGTATTGTTTCTTTGTCAGAGCCACTTGACTGCTGTCCCAACATGCTCAACGCCCTACTTGGTGCTGATTCAATCTCCTTTCTGATCTCAGCCTGCACCTCTTGGGGAAGTGCCTGGAAAGTTTTCGAGTAGGCTGGGTAGTTCAAGACAGAATTAACTCTTACGCCCGCCAGGACACGAGCTAACAGGTCCAGAAAAGGGGCTGCTTGAGCTCTAAGAGACTCGTTGGAGTTTATGGCATCGGACAGATTGAACATGTAGACTGCACAGAACCCCAAAGTTGGGCTGCCAATGGATTTCGGATGGAAGTCCTGCAAACGGTAATTGAAATCGTTTGATTGGAAAATCTGTGGCAAAGCATCAATGGTAGGTAGGTTCCACTCTGGGCTGATGGCCTCCAGTGAATCATTGCCATTCCCTTTGCACTGGAAGAACAACCGCCAGACGGAAACAAGCTCGAAAAGTAGAGAGGACAAATCCCGTTGCAGTGTTGTGCTAGCGCCGTTGGCGGCGAGCATCACTTGATGCGTCAAAGGTTCAATCGCGTCCTTAATCCACAATCCTGGAGGTGCGATGCCGAGCTGCTCGTATTTGAACAGTGCAGTCGTCGGAGTAACTGCCGGCTCTCCTTGTTTTTGACAGAAATCCTTGACAACTTGAGTCAAGAGGTTGCTGAAGAAGCGCTTGTCGTTTATTAGGCGAATATCTGTAGTGGAGGGCTTCGTGAGCGCTTCGCAATCGGCTGAAGTGTAGGTCCTTTCGAACAATGCCCACGCATCCTTCACTCCCTGACCTCGCAGATGCCCCAGAATTCGAACCGTGTAAGCTTTTCCTGCATCTTCGACGTCTTTAACCTCTTCTGGTGGGCCAGCATCGAGAGTCTCTGGCGCGTCACCAACGCTGTCGCGCAAATGCCTCGAGTATCTACCAACGCGCCGAGTACCATCGCTGGCAGCCTGGTTACTTGTCTGGGTTCGGTCGAACAGATTATACGAGGGGCTTTGGTCAGTTTCATGTGTGGTGTCTGTGTCGTCTGGCTGTCTCCGGGCTTCGGTCTGCTCGGCGCCGTTTTGTGGTTGCTTACGGCGCAGCGAGATGAACGTGGCTCGTGGTTGCCATTGAGGGATTCTGGAAGGTAGAAGGCGAGGGTTTAGGCGCGCTCTGCACTGACGGCAGACGTATGAGCCCAACATACCAAGCGACTGACCAGTGTCGGGAAAGAAAGAAGACTGCCAGGTACATTAGTTGTGCATTTTGGCAGTGAAGTCGATACCCACAGTACTGTACAATCTATCAACTGCTCATGACAAGTGAACGCGCTACAACATCTTCAGAATCACAAATCCTGCAGCCTCTCAACCTGGAGCGTGTTGATGAGGAGCGTGGAGCTTTCCGCGTCTCCAAAATCCAGGCGCGAACCCGAAAAGGAAAGCTCCGGCCGCCGGCCGGTCGTCCAATGACGTAGCACGTGACGGCAACTGCAAGCGCGACTCGTTGGCTCCAACGTTTACTCCATCTTTCAAAGGGTCAACACTCGCTATATATTGGGTGTGTGAGAGCACGAAGTGTTCGAATCGAGCTCCTGTCATTGATTGCATGGTCGACGCGTCAACTCAAGCATCATGACAACCCATATTCCAAGGGCGTTCTACTCGCAGGAGGAGCTCGATAGGCTATATCCCAAAGAGCTAGAATTGCAACTTGTTCAGATTGTGAGAGTTGAACATTGTCTTGGTGTGAGGTGGTCTGATGGTTTCACAGCTCCTACGCCATGGTGAACGGACACCAGTATCGCCGCGTTTCCAGAATGTAAGCCAATCTTAACATGCTCCTCATGTACAACGGAATCCTGACAGCATACTAGACTGGATTGCAGCCATGTATGTCGACACCAAGTGATTTACGAGGACTATATACTGAATATACCAGACTGGCCGTATTGCAACGCTGCACGGGAGTTGTCAAGCGTCGTCATGAGCACGAAAGACTTCACACGATGGGATCAGCTCAAGTACCGTCGACGAATCGAGACTTTTGGCATGGATGATGGACCAGGTACTCTCAGCCTCTCAAGTTTGCACCACACGCTAACCACCTACAGTGATTGCATCAGGACCAAACAATGAGTTCGATACTGTCTGTCACCCAGGAGAGCTTACCGACAAAGGTCGCCAAACTACCCTAGCCTTGGGTGAGCGTCTTCGTCACCTCTACGTCGATCAGCTTCAGTTCATGCCAAAGCTTATTGCTGACAGCGACATGATCTACCTGCGGGCCACTCCCATCCCAAGAGCACTCGAGTCAGTCCAGCAAGCATTTTGGGGCTTCTACCCACCGTCTGCACGAACAGCTGACTTCCCTCCTCCCACCATCATCACTAGAACCCCCGCCGATGAGACTCTCTTTCCCAACGACGCCAGTTGCAGACGTTTCGGCCAGCTCAGCCGCGCCTTCGCGCAACGAACCGCTGAACGATGGAATGACACCGAGGACATGCAGTATTTGTCGAAGCTCATCTCAAAGTACATGCCTGATCAAGCTAAAGTAGCCGTTGACTCTCGACCAAGACTCTCCGGAATCATGGACACCATCAACGCAACAGACGCTCACGGTCCAGAAACCAGGCTTCCTAAGGACTTCTACGACCCCAAAGCCCGCGCCATCATTGACAAAATCGCCGTGGAAGAGTGGTTCAAGGGCTATACCGAATCAGCTGAATACCGCATGCTCGGCATTGGCGCTCTCCTAGGCGACATCACATCGCGTATGACCGGCAGCGTCGAGAAGAACGGACGTGACGGGCTCCTCGAAGTTGGCGGCAGCGACGGCAGACTGGGTCGCGGCCGCGGCGGCGAAACAAACACCAAGCTCGCTCTCTCAGGCTGTCATGACACCACACTCGCTGCAGCCCTGACCTCTCTCGGTGCGTTTGAAAGTGAGAAGTGGCCACCGTTCACAAGCCACATCGCCTTTGAGCTCTTCAAAGCGAAGAATGTGACAACGCCATCGAGACCCACAACGCCGACATTAAACCAAAACGCACCGCCAAAGGCCCAGAGCTGGTGGTCCTCCCTCTTCGGCCACACGAACCCCACAACTCTCTCTAACGCTCCTCAGCCCGAAGGCATCGCACGCAAGCCGCTCTCCGAACTTTCCTCTACACAGCGCGAGGAACTTCAGGACTACTACGTCCGCGTGCGGTATAATGACAAAATCATGCAGATCCCGGCATGCAAAGCCGAGGGCAAGCATCTCGAAGGCGACACCACATTCTGCACGCTTGAGACGTTCAAGGGCGTGGTGGATAAGATCACTCCCAAGGACTGGAAGGTAGCCTGTAGTTCGCGACTGGACGCTTCTGCGTTCCCGGACAAGGTAGAGGTTGCTGGATATGAGTAAGCTGCTTTCAGCCTGATCGCTAGAGTAAAAGGCCCAAAGAAGCAGTTGTGAGAATCAATAACGATTCCAACCTGAACCCCTCGATCTCATACAAGCTCCCGCGTCTCATGGTGAAAGTCAGGCTCTTTGTCCTTACTGAATTGCCCTCCATGTTGGCGCCGCAACTGATCTTATGAGCTGCGTTGGCGCCTGACCCACCTGCCGCGTCGCATCGCACAGCCTCGCGACTTCCCCAGCCTAATTGTACCTTCCATCTTTTTTTTGCTGCCTCACCGCGTTACACCCGATTTAACAGACTTCACTTTCCTGTTTTGATACTCCGCTTCAGTTCACAGGACTGGCACAACGATTGCGGGTCATATGTGTATCAGAGAGCTGAACTTTTACACACAAGTCTCATTCAAGAGAAGAACTATTTGAGAGCACCGGCAGTATCGAAAGTGCACCATGGAAAAACTAACCTCTCGATTTGGCAACCGGCGTGCAACTCTTCAACGTCTCAAGCTGGCTCCACCTAGAAAAAAATGCGCAGACAGTTCTGCTTTTCAACCAAGTCTGCCATCACTCGTGGATAGTATCTAGGAGTGCTCGCGTTTGCCGTTACTCTTCGATACAATTCTGGGATTTCTGCCTCTATGTTTCACGGAACCAGCACTGCCTGAAGGTGATACTCGTGTTCGCTGGACATCTGTACGTTGTAAAGGACATCTGGTTTACTAGCATACTAAACTGTACTAAAGGCGGCATATGGAAGTTTGACGAGTTCATTGAGCTTGAATTCGGCGCTGCGAATCGGCTTGAGAAAGACTTGCGATAGCGTTGTACGTCGGACCCTGCTATCAGGTTCATTCAACAAGTCCTGAACATCTTTAGACGACTAGATCAGCAACAGGCCCGCTCCGATACAGAGCAAGGTTCCGCAAGAACCAGCGATACAAATAAACGAACCGGATCTGGGTGCTGCCACTGAAAGCCCTTGTGAGGCACATGGTTCGGAGGACCATGATCTTCGTTTGTTCCTCTGTGTAAGGCGTGGCCCCTCGATAAACGTACGCCAGGTCTCGCTTGGGGATATCAACGATGATGATGAACACTTTACCAAACTACGAAGGACGTACCGCTTTCAGCACGAGTAGCTTACTTTCCGAAGCGCTGGTGCTGTTTCCTTGACCGATATGAGTTTAAACTAACATGAGTAGTTCGGTGGAGCTGTGCTGATAACATACACCTATCTAGTTCGATGTCAATTTCAGCAGCGCTGCCAGGATCTTACCATCACAAGGACGGGTAGCTAGATAGCGTTCCAACTGTTTCTGTATCCTGCCACTGACCCATGTGGTGCCAGCTGGAGACTATCTCTGCGAACCAGCGCCCCATACACCGGTACCGGACGGGGAGGCCTCATGTGTCTCTCCTTGCACCTGCCCTCGGGCACGAACGGCTGACGGACGAGTTCATCAAGTCCACACCACATCGTAGCGGGGCAACAATCAACCTTCAATCAGATTCCAAGACGTTGCTTCACAGCCGCGGGAGCGCTGAGAGCTACACCCGGTGAGACGATGGTAGGGTGGGGCCTCTCTATTGACGAAGTTGGCACTGGCGCACCATCTCCTGCTGCATAATTTTTCTGATCCTGTTCAGCTTTCAATCCAGTGTCGTTTGGCCAGCTGTAAAGGGGGACCTTCAGGGACGGTTCACAGTCGCAGCATATCCACTTAGCCTTGGAACTATGATCTTCGGATACATAGCAGTGTACAACGTTTGATTGTATTGTGCAGATACAGTGAATTTGAGTGTGAAGACGCTTGTGGAGGTTGCAAGCCATGCATTGGTGGACTGCGTACCTCGTTGCAAGTCCCCAGTATGATTAATAACATCAAATGCGTACAGATACTGGCCACTGTCAAAAAAAATCCTAGAAGCCGGTGTCTTGAAAAGCACTCCGCTTGGCCTTACATGCAGTGCCACAAACAGCGACCATGGGCAACGGGTACGTCAAGGGACATCTAAGGCGTGGACTGAATTTCAAGTCTGATTCTTCACCAGACCAAGAAGCGTGGTATACCGGGTATAGCTACCGGGCCATGGGACTACCAGTCGTGTAGAGAGTGGAAGAACGAACAATTCCCAGACTTTCGTGTCAAAACGTGAAAGGAGGCGGGGGTAGAAGCGCACTCTTCCGCAAACGACACGTAATAAAGCCTCTAGCGGACTTCTTCTTCTATAATTTATTTGTCATTCCAGGGTATCATCATACTCTTCTCTTACTTCACGCATTCTAGCTCGCTCGAAAATCCCCCATTCATCTCTCCACCCCTCTTGCCCGCGACAGCATTTCACACCCCCTATACCGACCACTCCCTCGCTACAACTCCTTCTTCAAAAAGTGCTCAGGCCTATGGTCCGTCTCATAATCGACATGCACATACGCCCTCTCCACATCCGGCAGACTCTCAAGCTTAATCTGCAGCTCCTCGGCGATATCGTGCGTGGCCCTGAGACTGGACTCTGGGTCCATGACGACGTCGACTTCGACGATGAGGCGGGGGCCCGAGTGGTAGGCGCGCACGGTGTCGATCTGGCGAATGGCGGGGGAGTGTGTCATCGCTGGTAGACGTTAGTGAATCACAACCAATAGTTGCTGCGAAGGGTTTGGTCCTTTGGAGAGGTAGGGAGGAAGGACTCACAGATATAAGTAATATGCTGAAGCATATTCGTATCCGCCGTGACCCCAATAAGCAGCTGGAACTCGCTATACGCCGTCCTACTCCACAAAAAGATAATCAAAACCGACAAAATCATAGCACCCATAGGATCAATCCACCACTTCAACTTCGCACCACCAACACTCGTCAAAATACCAAAGCCATTGATGAACAAATCGTTCCTGTGGTCCTCCCACAGGATGCGGACTTGACTGTACTTGTTGCGAATCGCCCAGCAGTACAAGAACAAGCTGAGCTTTGTTGTGAACGCGATGGCTACCGCGATCACAGAGGGCAGAAAGAAGTCGTTTGTCTCGGCGCCGCTGTGCTCGGCGACGGAGCGTATGGATTCGACGACGATGACGACGGAGACGGTGATCATGAGCGCGCAGAAGGAGAGGTTGCCGGCGGTCTCGATACGTGCTTTGCCTGAGGGGTACTTGCGTGCATCGACGCGCGACACGGCGCGGGCGCACATGATCAGCGTCAGGTTTGACAGCGGGTCGAAGAGCGAGTCAGCCATGGTGGTGAACAGGGACAGCGACTTTGAGCTGATGGCGGCATAGAGCTGGAGACATGCGAGGATGACATTTGCTGCGAACGATCCAATGACGGCGATCTTGTACTTGAGCTGGTTCGCGTCGCCTTCTTCCTTGGCCGCGCGCCTGTGGTCGTCGACGGGCTTCAGCAGCCGCTCGATGTTCTCGTTCTGGGCTTCGTAGAACTCCTCTATCTTCTTTGCATTGCGCGCCTTCCTGTTCAGGCTTATGGGACCGCAGCCGTCACGCTTGCGCGAGCTGTTTGCGCGGATCTGGGCGAGCTCATCTTCGGGCTTGATCGCAGAAGCGAGATGGTAGGGGTCGTTGTCGAGCGTGTATTGAGGGAGAGGCTGCGATTCAACATCGCTGGAGCTGTCGGCGCGGTTCAGGACATGGCTGGGGCGTGCGATAGGGTCGTGTTCGTGGGTAGACGTGGTTTCGACAGCTGTGCTGTTGCCCTTGAACTTGTGAACGGCACCTTCAGGCGCGCTGGCTTGTTGTGAGGTGGAGGCGGTATGGGCGTGGGGGCTCGCTGTACGCTCTCCGCGGTCAGGATGTTTGTGGAAGGGGTGTGGTTTCATCGAGATGGCATGGTGGAGATCCGGTTCCGAAGACATGGCTAGGGTAAAGGAAGTGAGCCCGTCTCGGCAAACAGGCTCAGCCTTGAAACAGGTACAGCTTTGAGGAGCTTCAAGGTAAAGAGGCAGCTGCCAAAGAGAAACGACGAGGGGCAGTCAAGAAAAGAGCAGATCCATTGCTGCCGTATGGGCGTGTGTAATAAGATCGACGCCGTCCAAGCCCAAAAAGATCACCACGTGGGGAAGATCATGGCAGGGAAGGTGCAAGCGTGCGGTCTGCCTACGCCACTCCGCCGCTTCCAGGGAATGCACATCTTTCGTCGCGGTAGAATTTGCCATTCGCAACAGAGTTTATCAACGTCGGTGACGACTCGTGTGCTCTCTCTGACAGACGTGAATTGCCTCGGCGCGTTCACAGTCGCTGGTCCCTGAACTTGCGCGCTTGCTATCGATAAGCAAGTCGGTCACTCTGTGTTGCGTCATTGAGATGCTCTGCGTGTCCTATTGCCTTTTGCTCAAGGGCATCGAGCTGTTCCCTGTGTCCGTTTTCCCGTTCACCAGGTGCAAGATTGTATTCGTAGATGCTTCACTCGCCCTGTTTCCCCATCTCCGGTCAACATGTGGGACTAAGGCGGCGCAAGAGCGGAGTCAAGCCCGCACCTGCATAAGCGCCATCTGATAACTCTCCTCCCGGTGCCGCTTATCATTTCAATGTCCGCACGTCGGAGCTCGTAGCGGACGTCGTCTTGTCAATAGTACATATTTGCAGAATGTGAGCATTGTTCAGCGTGTTCAATGTGCATTAGACACAACTACAAGGCAATGGCCTGCCAAGCCAAAGCTGGTATAAACGCCGTGTGGATGAACCTAATCAATGAATTGGGATATCTACTCTCCTGACGAGCAGTCTACTGCTGCGTCTTACAAGACTTCTGGTGCTACATGACTTTTGCGGAGACGTGCAAGGCGTGACGATGTTGAGGCGAAGGTGTGGGCGTATAGTGTTGTGATTCTGTGCCGGGGGTTGGGGCGGGGATCGAACTCGCGGGGGATCGGATGGGGATGGTTAGGGTGTTGCCCCCATAGACCGAGAAAGCGGGTGAGACAAGTTGCGGCGAGGCGTTGTCTGACAAGCGATCTGCGCCTAAGAAGGCGACTCTCCGCGGCACGGTGGTGGTGATGGTGGTTTCACTGCCGGGTGAACATTCCAGCCACCATGCCGAACAGACAGGGGCTGGAGCGGCAGGGTTTCAGTGGGCGGAGTCGGCTCGCGGTCGTGGAAGTCGACGCGTTTGGAGAAATGAGTCGTAGTCAACCCTACTACAAGCTTAGTCAAAAAGCTGAATGAGTGATCATCTAGCAATGCGACTCAGTCCCATATTGGGCCCGCATATTGAGAGCATGGGTAAGAGCATGGGAAGCTCAAGCCATGACGCCTGCGTTGCCGCCTGTTTGAGGATGGTTAGTGGGGAAGTTGATAATATATTGAGGGGGTGCAGAATCAGTCCAGACACGATGGTGTGCGAGGTACTATTTGAGGTTCAAGCACATATTGCAACTTACCAACTTGACGCTTGATCTGTTCGCGGGCCCATCGAGCGGTATCACGTGTACGTCCGCTGAAGTCCTGATTTGCACGAGTTTCCCTCGCCATTGCAGTGAGGAAGTCATGACGGAAGTACTCCCTGGCTTCGCCGTTCTGGAAGGCATCGGCCAGATCACTGCTCACGGTTAGGAATAATGTACAATCAATGTATCTTATGTGTACTTACCCGATGACACCACATGCAGATCGGAGGAGAGCCTCAGACCTGTTGGGGTCTTGCGAAATAGTGCGGAGTAAGTCAAAGATAGCGTCAAGGAAGGGAACAAGAAGGTTGTTCTTGTTGCTGGCCTTCATGGCGTTGATAGCGCCATCCCAAGCATCGAGGATACCCTCCCTCAATGATGTTATGTAGTCGATCATTTCGTAGTTGTTCTCAGTGGTCAACGTGACTTGGCCGGCTTGCTGAAGGACTTGAGCAACGACGGTCAGGTACGTCTCAAAAGCGCCGTGAATAGCATGTGCAATGTCGCCAAAGCACTGCAGGATAGCAGGCTTGAGCTGGTTGCCAAGCGCTGGGCTCTGTGACGAGTATTAGCAGAGTTCAAAGAGTATGCATGTTTGGAGCGACTTACTCGAAGGTTGTTGAGCAGAGAGTTCATAAAAGCATCACAATAAGGCTGGACCTTATCGCCTAGCGAACGTGTGATGTCAGAAACAAGACCAATAGCAACGGAGCACAGGGCAGGCTCCTCTTGGTTGTTCAGGGCATTGTACAAGAAAGGAGAGAATGCATCCATGTACTTCTGGAAGTCGTCATCAAGCGCAGTAGCAATCGATGCAATAGCGGCAAAAACTGTGTCAGGAACACTCGACTTGGGGGGAAGAGATGACAGGGTGCCGAGCAGGATCTGCATAATGCGGTCGGCCTGGGGCCTGATGTCGCCTTCCAGACGCTGAACAATCGACATAACAACACTGGCCAAACTTGTCTGCATCTCCTCAAGAGTGAGCTTGTCCTCGACGCTGACAACCTGGGACTGAAGGCCGATCGACTTCTCCAGGCGCTCGAGGATGACATTGGACAGTTCGTTGACGAGAGGAACGCTGTCGGCTGCAGCGTTTGTTACGAAGGAGTTGAGCACTTCGTATGCTGCCGTCCTGAGCTGGTTGTCGGCATCACCCCTCTCGGTGACCTGCAGGAGGTGCTGCACACTCTGAGCAAAGTGAGCTGAAAGAGGGTTGCTCTGGCATCCTGGTTCCCCAGCGAATCTATCAGCCAAGTTCATGAGCGACCAACAACAGGATGCGGCCATCTTGGGGTTGCTGGAAAGGCCGTTGAAAAGAGCACCAATCAGAGATGGAAGATGTTGCTGTGCGTCGAGAGCACCCGGTACAGCTTCGCATATACGTCCCAAAGCGTACGCAGCCGAGTCCTTGACGTGAATGTTCTGGTCGTCCATCATGCCAATAAGAGTGGGCAGAGCCTGCTTGACGATGGGGTCCAAAACGTGCTCCTCAGGGCCTTCCATGATCGCACCGAAGGCGGAGACAGACGCATCTCTGTAGTGCCAGTCTTCCGAGCGGATGTGCTTCTCGATAAAAGCAAGAACCGGAGGCATAACAGCGCTTCCGACACATTGTGCCCACAGCTGCAAACACTGGTAAGCGGCGCGCGATGTGTTGTACTCGTTGTCATCGGCATCCTCGTCCTGCTTGGCAAGAAGCTCAAGAAGAACGGGAACAACCTCTTGCGTGGCAACACGGGCGAAGTTGAAGTACTCCCGCAGCTCAGTCGAACCCTCAGCCTGTGCCTGTGAGTTGTCGTCCTCGATTGCGATTTCCTCCTCGCAGACTGTGCACCAAAACTCGACAGCGAGCTTGGCAACGTCCTCTTCGTCGCTCTTCATGCCCTGGATTGTAAGACCAAACAGGGCCTTCTCCATGTAAAAACGCATCTTGTCGTAGTAAAGACCCATGATGCGGTTGAGACATCCATACGACCCTTGCTGGATACGGGTGTCGTCCGCCTGTGTAGCCTCACAGATGACCTGCATGATGTAGTTGCGCTCACCCTCGTTCTCGAAGTTCGATCGTACAAATTCGATCGAGTCGCTAAGAGCTTGGATGGCTGCCACTCGGACATCGTTATTTGTCTCCTCCTTGCGGGCGCCCTGAACGACAGCGGTCAGGATGGCGTTCGAGTGGTGTCCCAGCGCTTCCCTCAGGTCGATGTCGTCGGTGTCGCAAACGTAACCGATTGTGGTCAGCGAGGCTTGTTTCTGGCTGTCGTTGCCCTGACCGACGTTCTCGACGAGGGTTTGCATGAGCTCCGGCCATTGGTGGCGGGGTATTTCGATCGCAGCGATGGAGGCAATAAGCTGGGCGACGGTGGTACCGACTTGCTTGTTAGGTGTCGACAATGTGCGGAGAGCCATCTGCTTAACCTCCTGCTTGATCTGAGGGTTCAGGTTGATCCATCGTTCCTGGACCTGACGTAATCTGGCGTATTCGCGAGCTGTGAAAGCGTTCTTCAGCGCCAGGGCAGCAGCTGTTCGAATATGTGCTTGGGCAGCTTCGTCGGCAAGCTGTCCACCGAGGATGGAGAGGTACTGAGACTATAAAAAGACACACAACCGTTAGTGTCTATGTTTGAGTGAAAGCACGCGCAGCCTTCTCGCTGCGGGGGGCACTTACGAAATCAGAGTCGGCGGCCTGGGAGAGCTGCTGCTCAGCATTCTGGCGAGTGGTGGCATCTGTCGAGCTCTTAGTGAATGCCGCAAAGCTTCAGGAAACATAGGAGAGGCCACTTACCAGGAGACAATGTCCCCTCCAACACCTGGTTGATATCCATGATTGCAGGAGGGTGCTTCAAAGAATCAAAGAGGGGTATCGAGCAGCTAGACAGGTAAGAGAACCGCAGTGGCGGGAGGAGTGCGAGGTGGTGCGGCGAATAGGGTGAGGCCTGCGAAAGTTGCGGTGGGCGCTCGTGTAGGGAATTTGGAGCGAAAGAGGTCGAGGTTGCCAGGCCGATCTATTCACGTGTTTGGCTGCGCGGGAGTTTTCGTTCTGATGGATTGTGCCCCACTACGGCGCCGGTCAACGAGGCAAAAGCGTAATTAGAAGCTAGTGCAGGCGAAAACAACAAACAAAGCAGATGGGCGATGTTTGATGTGAAAGAGAGAAGTTTCTGGAAGTTATTTGCATCCCAGGCACAGGCACTTGCGTTCACCAGTTCACCTGGAAGGCAGCACCAACGCCGCCTGGCAACCACATTGGCTCGCTTGGGTCGTGCTTTCTCCAGGTCTGCGTTCCCCCGCGGCTGCCTCGCACCCTGCGCCGGACGTTCCCTCCCCATGAAACGGCCTGAGGCTTCGAGGGGTCTGCCACAGATTGCTGGCATCTGAGTCCTTTCCTATTGAACTCGCCGGATCTGTCATGTGTCCTTTGTTTTGGCCTGGCATTGTTGTCTGGTGCCTCTGATCCACGTCGTTAAACGCGTGTGGCTGCCGCAATGCCAATCATGGCTCTATAATTGGACCATAGGCGCGCAGTATCACCACATACGTCTAGTCCGGACGTTTAGGAACTCGTGTGCAAGTCTGAAGTATTGGGATGATGTAGGTGAAGAGATACATGAGAATGCTAGGAGACCTGTAGGTAGTATGTACAATCAAGTGCACGCGACAACGCCAGCTATGCAAACACGCTAAGCTTCCCAAACGTTCAGACCGTACTGCTGCATGATGGACAGGACCAGAAGATGTGAACTATCCTAAGTGATCAGCATCGTGACGCTCATGTCCTCCCTCGTCGCGGATCGTTGGATTCTTCCTTCCTCCAGTCACGCATCTCTTTTGTGCCCAAGCTGCCCAACCCTCCTTCACCCCTTCTCTCCCACCCGCCTAACCTGACGACCAGCCCAGTCGCGTTGTCTGCACCCTCACTCCCCGTCGACGTCTCGACCGCAAAGCCCGTGAGGTCTCTAGCAGCCTGGTCAGGAGTCTTGGCTTCCTTAACGATATCGACAATCTCCTGGTCAGAGAGATGACCGCAAACGCCGTCAGAGCACAGAACCATGAACGAATATTCGGCAGGTGAGAGCTCAACGCGACGTATTTCGGGCTCAGCAGACACGCCGATGCGCTTCGAGGACATGTCGCCGAACGCTCTGGTGTTGGCCAATCCGGAGATACGCTCTTCACCAAATGAGTCGGTCACAAAGGCGGCGGCGAATCGGCGCAGGCGTGTTGCTTCCTCAGGTAGTGATGGGTGGTGATTTGATGTTAGGGGTACGGCAAGTCCAGTCGCAGTGTTGCAGAGGAGTATCCTCGTGTCGCCAACGTGTGCAGTGATCAGCGATGAAGGTGATGATGGGTGCCAGAACGGCGAGGGCGTAGGAGTCGAAATAAGAGCAACACTGCATGTGCTACCACCTTTGAAGCGCTTCGTGCCACCGATATTCTGACCTGCGTGCGAGGGCTTGCCGAGGATATCATCGTCGTTGATAGCCTTATCTGCACGAACGGGGTCTTCCTCTTTCTTGCCTACTTGCGCAGCCACGAAGTCGTAATCGGCTTTCAAGAAGGCGTACTCCAGAACCGTCTCTATGCCAACACCCTCAGTAGTATCGTCAGATATCGAAGAATTTGCAGAATGGCGTTTCGAGATGACCTCCTTCTCATGGGGATGGCCCCTACCGCCAGCAGACACGGAGAAATGCTCTGGCTTGAAGCGCCTGAAGTAGCCCCCAACAAGCTCCTTCCAGTTACTGACCAGCTGGCGCTCCATCTCTTCAGCCTTCCGTATGCTGTCCGACTGTGGGATGGGCGGATCGCCAGGTATTGGTCCATCTCGTTCCCTGCTAGGTAGGTCGCCTCGGTCCTTGCCGTTCGGTGGCTGCATCTTCTCTGTGCCTGGCGGCGTGTGTGTTTGTATAGCTTCTAAGCTCTCTTTGTCTTTCGCCTGTCGACTCTTGGGTGTTGTATTAGGGTCCTGCATGCTGCCCGGTAGCGAAGGCCCAGCCCTCTGCAAGCTGCTCTGTAGCTCGAACTGCTGTGTCGCCTTCTCGAGGTAGTCGTGCAGCTGCTCTCTCAGGAAGCCAGAGCACACTGCACCACCGTGTCCATCGAACACGCCGAAGTAGAAGACCTGGGGATCTCCACTCGCGCTGTCGGCAGGTGTGACCTCATTTGCAGCCCCGCCCTTCCGTGTGAGGGACATTGGGCGCCGTTTGGCGAAGGCTGGAACCTCAATGGTGCCAGCTTGAAAAGCATCTTCGTTGTATGGCCGCGAGCCCCGTGACAGCGAGACACCGAAGTGGTGTTTCGCGCTCTTCAGCGGTATCCGGACTACTGTCATGTCGCGGTTTGCGCCCACAACAGCAGCCGGCGAGCGGCTGTCTCCTTTTGTCTCATGGGGAGTGCTCTTGTCGCGCGGAAGCTTGTGGTTGAGTTTGGACCCTGAGTCTGGGTGCAGCGAGGACGAGGGAATGTGGGTGACGAAGTACTCGTGGAAGCAGCGTCGCTGGCGGGCGGGCCGACCTATCCACGAGGAGCTGGAAGAGCTGGAGGAGCTGCTCGGGGCGCGATTGCAGGTGAGGCGGGCAATGGGAGGCCTTCCAGTGGCTGCAGAGAGACGGACTGACGGTTTCCACATGCTGTCCCTTGCGGCAAAGGACGCATTGTGTTGTAGGCACGGCAATTATGTCATGGTAGGGAACGGGGCTAAGACGGGTGTTGGAGGAGCTGCGGCCAGCTCGTTCCGATGTTCCTTAGTGACCCCAGCTTCGGATCCCGCACTTGCAGCCTTATCTTGTCGCCTTGACAATCATCATAGTTATCTTTCAAAGCATCGCACCACTGTATGAGCAATTTTGTCTGTTCAGTGTTACGGGTATAGGGATAACTGGCTGACTGATAGTTTGATGATGCATTCAACGATACTACTTCTGACAAGGCAGATGAGTGCCAGCCTCTCCCCATGTCTATATTACCTGGGTATACCAAAACGCCAAACCACAACCGACATTACATGTATGTGATACGTGACCTCATCAACACACTCGAGCCGCTTCTCATGTCTAGATGTACCGCCTCCCCTGAAGCTGTGGTGCTGGACTGCCTCTCCCATTAATCATCTGCACATTAATAACCTTCTGTACGCTCGCCTTGCCCACCGTCACCGTTGGGCTCCATAGATCATCATCTCTGCCCCCACCATACGTGCTTTCCCTGTCCCATCTGTCGCCTCTGGCTGCCTTGACATCCCTAGTCTCGTTGTCGTTGATATAGGTCTTGTTCGTCTCAACCGTCGTCAACGCAATTACACTGTCGCTGTCCGAGTCCTTCGACTTGAACGACTTAGACGTGTGGAAAGAATTGGTGATGGAAGACTTGATGGATGAGCTTGGCAGAGAAGCTTTCCGACTCTTGTATGAAGAAACGCGTTCTTGCGTATCTGAAGCGATCTTGCGGATCATCGGGCGTAAGAGGGCGATAGAAGCGGCAATGATGCCGGTTCCTGGCTCGGCGGTCGCCCAGATAGTAGCCTTGACAGCGTTGGCTATGGTGGGTCAGTATTGACTTGATGTAAGATAAAGGAAGTGAAGAGAAACGTACGGTTAAGGCCGGCACCGCTACTGGAGAAGAGAAGACCTTTGAGATACACCATACGAAGGATGCTTGAGACACTTCCAATCGCACCGAGGCCCATAACGATACTAACGCTAATCTTGGATCGGCGGTCGATATCACTGTCAACAAGGATGGCAATGGGGATCAGCACAAATGTCCAGTCTGCAATGACATTGATGATGCCGTAGAGATAGCCTGTGGCCAGGATGAAGCCGGCAGGAAGGCACTTCTTTGAGCCAAGAAGGCTGTCTGCGAGTCTTGTGGGGTCGCCACACACGAAGACTGTCGTGAAGACATAGAAGACGCCATAGGTTGCGCTGACGACGAGGATGGAGTGGAAAATAATGGTCTGCCAACGTTTGGTAAGGACGCGGAGGAAGAAGAGACCCAGAGAGATCTTGAGTAGTGTCGTTGTAAGAATGTAGAAGACTTCGCTTAGTTGGACGTACTGTGTTGGTCAGTAGATGCGAGGTGAGGTTTTCCTTGGGTGACGTACGACTAAGCTCAAGTATCGATCCTCTTTGTTGAACAGTTTGCCTTGGCCACTCCGCATTGTGATGGTCAAGATGAAGGCACAATATGTAGTAAACAGCAGCTACTCAAGTCAGTCTGTGTTGATCAAGAACATCGTCCGACTTACCAAAGTAGCGACCATGGCCGCATCATCCCAGCCAGGAGATTTGGTGATGCGAAATCGCACCCATAACCGGAGCCCTACAGCCAGCCATGCCCAGATGACAAGCGTTATGGACCCGGCGAAGACGAACTTGCCCAGTGCAAGCAGTTCTTGGATTTGAGCCGTCGAGGCCATTTTGTGAATTACCACGTAAAGTGGGGACTAAACAGAAGATCAAAGGGTATAATAGAACGAGGCACTGCTGGCATTAAGAGCAGGATTCAGAAACGAGTACCCTCCGGAGAATCGAGACCCGTGCTGGTCGTCGCACATGTGGTAGAGGGTACTGAACTCTATTCTGGGTTAGCAGTCTGACGTGTAGTGGTCATTGGCCAGGCTGATCTCCAGTAACCTGGATGGTTCCGCATAGACATCCCAGACGTTTAATGTCTAGCGACACAGTTGAGGCGGGCTATAGTCCGGCATGTTGACCTTGAGAGCTCCAATTTACGTGACAGACCCTGTGCCACGAGGTGGCTCAAACAATGTTCTGGAAATACGCTGTTTTCCACCGGTTGAGAAGGCAGGTAGCGCTGTTGTGCCTCATGCAGCCAAATCCAGAGTGTGGGGTTGATCCATGGGATTGCTTGGCTCAAGTCCGGAATGAACTGCAGTGACAATTACTGGATCACTTAGGTGACATACTTCGGATTGCCTGCTTTGAAAATGATCCCTCCGCAATCTTGAGGTTTGAGGTAGTCAAGAAGGTGACGAGTCTAGAAGCATCCTCAACTCGAAGCTGCCAAGGGAGGGCAGCTGCCTTCATCAATCGACTTTCGCCTCTCGATCTCAAAGCAGCATTGGGAGCGCGGTGGAGTTATACATTCGAAGGCCGTCATGTTTCGCCATGGATTCAAGATGTCGTAGTTCCGCGTTTCAAGAACGCGCGAAGAAGCTCTGATCTCAAACAATGCCAAGTAACCTACGACACACGTTTGGTCGACCATTGTTCCGGCGCAGCGCGATATTCTAGGTGACTGAGGCGCGAACTGCTGTTCAGGCGTGACTCGAGTGATGGTGCACGAGGCTGACGATGTGGGTGTGGTTCACAATCGATAAGCAGCATTGCTTAGTCACTAGCGCCTTCGGCAAATTTCTCCCTCCCTTAGACCTGTCCACGATGCCTTTAATCTTCAACCAACGCGTCCGAACAACAACGCGCGCACAATGTCGCCTTCACGCGATGTATCACAGCTGCTTTAATATCGAGCAGTCTGATCACCTTGCAGACGTGCGATCACGCGTACACGATGATGCTGTCGCTGTCCGCCTGCGACATTTAACCTAGTGTCATTATCCTCGCAAAGGACTTGGAAATAGCTTACTAGAAGCGCTGCGAATATACGTGAGGTACGTTCCTTCCCTTCTCCTTCCCCAATTTCCTGATGAAAAACAACAAAACAATATATCACAGACCTGTTCCAAATACATTATGTGGATAACGTTTGTAACATCTCCTGATTGCTATCTCATTCTACCTTTGTACGATCTTCAGCTTCATAGCCTATATACTGACGTACTCAACAGGTTCACAAACGTTCAACCATCGCATGCATCGCATGCCCACTGCGATGTTTTCTGATGCACATGTCTGTAGTCTTAGATTGTCTTTTGCGTAACAATCTACTGTTTAAATTATCAACAAAGACGGCACTTATGGACGCTGCTAGTCTTTTATACTTTCCTTTTGACCTCCTCTCGACTTCGACCTTGACACGTAGTGCGCAACATCCCTTTGTCCAAGTGCTATTTTGGTACGGGCGAACACTCAATGAAAGAGTGGCAGATCTCTTCACCAAGCCTCTGACACGTACGATGCTGAAAGCAGGGTTGGAGAAGCTCAGTAGTTGAAGACCGCATTGCGTGAACGAGGGAATGTCGAACAGGGTCTCATTCGGTGTAGGTACAAACTGCAGGATGTTTGACACACAGCTTCAGCTTTGTTTCTTTATCTAAGACAGGTGAGAAGCAAAACCTTCACAGGTACATAGGCATATAACAAGCCTATTCTGCCTACGTAGTAATCTATCGCTTTCATCACAATCCTCTATGTCTTTGCCTCTTCCCTGTTGAACAGCACATTGCGCCCTGCTTATCAGCCATCCTGCAATAAGGTTCCCAGTCCTACCCTGGAATACTTACACAATTGACCAGCTGGTTGCAGGATACTATATCAACCCTGCACAACACATATCTGCTTACTTTGCATATACAGCTATCTACTATACAATGTTTGCTGCAAAGGACAGCATGGCTAACCTAGATGCTGGCCGGTCCCTATCTCGACGCAACAGCAATGTTTCTCTGGGCTTGGTCGGTGTCCCAAGCATGCAAGAGTCGGTACAAACGGAGGATGAGTTCGAATTTGACAGCAATCCCAATGTTGACCTAAGCGCTGATCTAGACGCTGATCTCAACGCGCACATCGATGCCTTCTGTACGACAGCTGGCCTGCCGACTGGTCAGTCGTTGAATGACTTAGAGGTCAGACCGACTCTTGCACCGTTGAAGACGAACTTCGCGCCATCAGATCTGTCCCAACCCTACATCTTGACTGAACAATATCCATATGCGTACAACAAGCCAGATCTCAGCTCATTCTCTGTACAACAGAACCTTGCATACCCTGAACCCTGGAGTTACTATTTGGCTCATGAGACACCATACTTCGACGACTACTATGGCGCTCTCGCTCCACCTGGGTACATATTTGGTACGATGGGTCTCACCGCATTACCCGGAAACAACGCCATCGCTGGGTATGGGAACGTTCAATACCCCTCGAACCCGTATGGAAACCCAATCGAGTTTTGGACGCTACCTGCTAATGTCACAGCATTGCCTACAGTACACACAGGCTACGTGCCAGTCGAAGCATCGTCCTACAATGACACCACGATGCAATTCGCAACATACCCTGTAAAACAACCACAAGCTGTTGCGGCAACGCAAGCCCTCACAATCGAAACCGCTCCATCGTTAGAAACGAACATCAAGGCTCCTATCTACACTGAAGAGCCTGCACAACAAGAGCAACAGGAGTCGGATTCGGACTCGGACGAAGACTATCGTGATACTGAGACGAATACTACAATGATATCCAAGCGAGAGACCCGGAAGCAACCCCGCAAAGATTCTGTAAACTCTGCCAGCACTTCCACCGCAACTCCATCTGAACCAGTAAAGTATCTCCCAGGCGAGAAACCTAAGAAGGTTGACGCGAAACCTTGGATCCGTACCAACACCAACACAGAGGGTGACACACGGACTGCGAAGATCAATAACTGGAAGAACAACTATGTATACAAGCCGCTGCCACTTGGCACCTGGGGCTCTGGCAAACACACATTCACGTACACCCAGTACGAAAACGTGGATTTCCTAACAGAGGCACCGATGTCTACCCGGAAAATCAAGGAGTACATCATGAACTACCCATGTGACGACCAGAAGCGTCTCGTTATCTGGATCCAGAAGATGCCAGCTGACCAGGGTCGACGCTACGGATCAAAACAGCATTCCAAGTGCGCTTTTAGGGACTGCCCGATCCAGCGATACGTCGAAGGAACCATCAGCACTGGTGAGTATCGCGTTGCTTTCGACGAGAAACATTACATGTATGGGGGGGATGTAGACCCATATGACTGCGCAGCCTACGCTCATTTATACTGCATGGAGCAGTTCCTTGACTTCGAGCAAGTGTGTCAAGTAGCTGATGTACGCTTGGATACACGCCTCGACATGCCACTCGAGCCCAATGGTAAAGCAGCGTTCTCCATGGTGGATGTTCCTGCTCGATATGAATTGGAACGCTTCATTAAGGCAGCTTCCAAGGGCAAGCTTCGACTTACACCGCGATGGCACAACTATCCCTTCCATGCCGATTACGAGCGGGATCAGCAGAAACCTCATGAGCGCACGCTTACATACTTGGCTCATTGCATGTATGAAGCTCACCAGGACGACTCGCACAAGAAACAGGCCGCACTCCGCCGCGTTACTGTATCGCAGCGACGAGTGCACCTAGGCGACTTGGAGATGAGCGTAGCAGACAAGCACATTATGATTGAGGTATTTGGAGGCAAGAAGAAGGGGCGAAAAGGCAAAGTTGAAGACCACTACAACGAGCGCATTCGTTACCAAATCAACCGAGCCAAACAGGAAGCTGAGGACTTCCTCAAGGAAAAGCGTCAGGGGAAGAACTCCGTTAAGAAAAGTAAGAAGCGCAAGATCATTGAGCACGAAGGGACTGACGACGAAGAGCCTGTGTACGAGACTGCTTATGGTACTGAGCAACATGCATATGCTACGCCATCACGAAAGATGCATGCGTCTCGACACAAGAAACAGCGAATCAACTGCGCAGAGTCTCCAATCGACACTCAACAGCAGCATGCTCAAACAGCATACATGCAGCCTCAGCCCGTCCAAGCTCCTGAGCAACAAACCCAGCATTTCCAAACCTACATGGCAACGAACTTCACCTACTCACCCACCCCTGCGCCATGCCAACCTCTCATCAACCCTGTGCTCGACACACCCTATGGTCTCTACGCCGTCCCCGCAACCCCGAAACTCGACATCTCAGACTTTTCAGACTTCCCAACCTGCGAAGATGACATCCCCGACGACAACCTGGAGAAGCTCCTCGCACTGGACCGACGCCAATCTTGCACGGCAGAATTTGGCCCGATGAGCATTCTCAAGAGCCCTGAGCTCACTCGTGGTGGATGTACGCCGCGACGGGCTGTCTTTGGTGCTCAGCCTGTGAGCGAGAGCAAGGAGTATGGAGCTAATGATCCGCCGAGCTTGATGTCTGGTCGTCGTAGCGCGCGGATTGCTGCGAAGGGGACGGTTGGTGAGCGGCGGATGCGCAAACGTGCTCGGTCGTCTCGATGAGCCTGGTTATTAAGTGTTCAGTGTTCCTTTTTGTCAAAGCGTTATTTGATGGGAAAAGCAAGATCTGTAGTAATGATTGATGAACATGTACAAAATTCCACCTCGACGAGTGCCTGGTCTGTGCAACTTGGAGAACATCACATTGTGAAGGTCGAGAGCTTTACTCGGATGATACCGAGGTGACGAATCCAGGTACATAGCCAGTCTCCACTTTCTTGCAGAAGTGCGCTGTCACCGTATGTTTGACAGTGTGAATTTCTGGAGTATAAGATCCAGGTCCGTCTCTTCTTCAAGCTCTGAAAGGTCATCAGTCGAGCGGCATTTCACCGCCATGTTTCGGAAGTTTCGAAGAATTCATCCTCGCTAAGGTTCTCGATGCTGCGGGGCCACTATTCTTCTCTGACCGACAGAACGGTGAGTGTGAGTTGTTCGAAGGAGTGCAGCAGTACTAGCTGTGGCAGGGATGGTTCGACAAAGTCCGCGGCAAACTAGCCGCGCTAGCGTTCCCCTTTAGGTTACCCTGAGCAACGCTGTTTACACCGCTGAATTGAGGAGGCTGGCCTGCTCTGTGCACTGGGCTCTGTGCTTTCTAGCCAGCGCATAGATGTCCTGTAGTTCGCCCAAATAATGACAGACGATATCCCTGATCGATTCCACATTTTTTGAACGTTCATTGAACCCTGAGTGACACCCGCCCGTTGCGCATGCTATTGTACAAGCTTGCACCGAACGACCACGATCGGTTATGACGACACTTGACGAGCTACGAGACCAAGGTGTCACTTCCTTTGCGATATACGAGGATCAAGAATACAGAGAACCACTGTCGCCTGGCGCTATGTTTGAGGGCGATACCTCATTCAACTCTGACCTTGCCATGTCAATGAATGGCGAAGACACATCTAACATTGAGGTTGAGCGAGATGAGCATGAGTTTGGTGATGAGCTACTGCAACCCTACCAAAGTTCATACACATCTCGAAAAGGGCATTCGCGGCGTCAATCTGCTACAACACACTATAGCTTCATATCCGCCATGCCATCTGAGACTGGTTCCACCTCGTCCAAACCTGCTTCCGCCGGCAACTCAGCCATCGACACACGATACACTCCACGAAAGGAGCGACCGCGATTTCGAAACCCTGAGTCGGTACGAGCGATGCAGATGTCTTCTCCGCTACCAATGCCGACATACGAGAGCAACCGCGAGAGGATGAAGAGCGCATATGGCCTCGCGACACCAAGCAGAACTGGAAGGTCAGAGACACCAGTGTCGAGACACTCCGGTTCACGCAGAGGAAGCGTAAGGAGCCATCACAGCCCTAAGCCTCCACCAACACCACAGCAAGCGCCTCTTGTCTTGCTCCACGTTACAATACTGCCTATGCAGCTACCGTTCTCGCACGACCTCATGGCTAGGATTATGCCGGAATGGCTGGTGGAGAATTACAGATTACTGGAGGAGAAGCTACAGGACATCATCCTGATGCGTCGAGGCCTGCTCATTCCTCATCCCAGAGACGAGTATGAGCTGCTCGAAGAACGCATTCTGGAAAGCCTGGAGCTGAAGACACCGCGGCTGCTTAAGTGCGGTCACTTCGTAGCACCGGATGACAATGCAGATAAGGATGAGGATGATGACTCTGCAATTGGTGCCGAGGACGGTGCCAGCCGCATGAGTGGAAACACCATGACTGACGATCACGAGGGCATGCACACAAGGAGAGACTCGGCCATGTGCCTCGACTGCCATCGCGAGTTGAAGAAGCCAGGTCAGGGCGTCGGTGCTGGTACACGTCGCTTCGACATTAGGATCTACGCAGCCAACGGCCTGATGCGCTCCGAAGCATGGACGGCGGCATGGACCGAGATGGAGCGTTGCGACGTCGAGATCACACCCTGGATCCCAGAAGACGTCCGCAAGACTCTTGAGAAGAGGGTTCTCAAGGAGCAAGAAGCGGACAAGCGCAAGGCAGCATACAATGCCGAGCTTCAACGCAGGATCCAGGAGGATGCCGTTCGGCAGCAGAAGCTGGCAGCTGAGGCCGTTTCGAAGAAGAGGCAAGAGGAAGAGGAACTCCAAAGGAGCTTCGAAGCTGCTGCCGCTGCTCTGCAGAAGAGCATCGAAGAGAAAGCTACAGACAAGGCTAGATTTGAAGCGACCTTGGAGGAGAAGATCGAGGAAGCCAAAGAAGCAATACGCTTCGAGCTTGAATCACAAGCGATGATGGAGTCAAACTCTGTCGCTGAACGCTTCCGCGCGATGGAAGAAGCGTTGAGGCAATACGCGTACGTCTCTTGCCCTCAGTCACCCGCACCGCCATCAGAAGTATCTTCACGTTCACGAGCATCAACCTACGATTTGGATTTGCGCAGCGTCTCCCGTGGTCGCCGCGGATACACCTCGAGCCGACCTCACGCAGCTCAACTGCCACTCAGCGCCCTGCTCAAGAATTACCTCATGGTCCAGTTAGCAGACCCAAAGAACTGGGCGATCCTGCTGCTGACCGCCGCTGTGGGCTTCATGTCAATGAACATGACCACCCAGCTGCCTTCCAAACCTTTGATCAGCGATGTATCCTCAGTCGATGTGGTCTCGGCGTCCGCGGTGACCGCAACGACAACCGCGTTTTCGACCCTCACCGTCACCGAGATCCAGATGTCGAGCAGCGTCTACCCGACAGCCTCGTACTCGTCTTCAGCGTATGCAAGTGCATCTTCCTCCGTCACTGCGTCCGTTTTCCCCACCATTCTGCCCACCGAGCTCGAGGTTCTCGCAGACCCCAACGAAGCACACGTCTTTGAGTCCTCCTCCACCGTCAATGACGAGCCGCTTCGCCGTGCTTCTGAGTCCTCCGAGGAGGACCCAGAGGAGACCGTCGTCGCAGATCCAGTTGTTGAGGATCTCACAGAGCCTGCAAACATCGACTCGAGTCTGTTCCAGCACACATCTGAGCTGCTCGAAGCGGCTTCCGAAGAGGCAGTCGTCATGGAGGATCCTGTGACACCGCAGGCTGAGGATTCTGCCTCTGAGACAGAGAGTGTAGCAAATGCGGAGACTGATAGCGTTGCTGTCGAGTCTGATGAGGAGATGGAGGTCTGCCCTGTTGAGAGCGCTTTGTATACAGCGGATGAAACTTGCTCTGTCAACGAGCAGTAGGCTTCTTCACTTCTTTCATTGTATTGAAGGAGAGAACGGACACGACATTTTACGATTTGACTACGGCCTGAATACGAAGGAATGATAGCACCGCATTGCTGCATTTGAGCGCACTTGAGCGAGCATCTTGACAGCGAAGCGAAACATGGATCTGGTTCTGTTATATAGTTGCATTTGCGAATACCTTTTCGTTATATTTCGTTGGCTCTAGGTCGATAGTTTCACAGTATACAACCATCCGAGCACATCGACTTCTCCCTTGTTACACATCTGCCAATCACACAAATCCACTCAAGTACAACGAACATACTGTCGAACAACATACTCAAAGGTAATAAGACCGCTGTACCGCCACTTAAACTCAGTCATCCTTCAATTGCCACGCCACAATTCCTCGTAACGTCCGCACCGATGTACCGAGAAGTCCGCCGCAACGAGAAAATCAACAGGTACTCGGACTTCACACAGCCTAAACTCTACGCACACCCTATTATCTTCTTTCAACTGGTGCCAGCCTTGTGCTTCAGGCACTTAAAAACATTAGTACATCCTCGCAACTATAAATTACCGTTGTCTTGTCGCCGTTGCACCGCTGTCTGCAAGGAGCGTTCTTTTCGTGCAAAACAAATTCGTCTCATTAGAGCACTAACGTCAAGCTCTTGCCGGTTTCAAATCTGCTAGGAGGGTCCTATATGAGCCTGCAGTCCTTACTACAGTGCTAGAAAGTCATTGCTAGCCTTGTGTTTGCTGCCGCACGAAGACATATGCGAGCTTGACACACGCGTTGGTACTTCTTGACTTGAGCGACAGCTAATCCTGCCTAGCGCAAAACAGCCCCGCACGTCTCGCATCCTCATCGCACTGTAACCTAAATTGCGTTATAGTTGACCAAGTCAGCGCAGTCCAGCCTGTGGCTGGGCAGAGTCCTTTGTGGCTGGAGCGCCAGCGTCTTATTCCCCTACGCACACGATGGCTCTCTATACTCAACGAGATGGATCTTCATCACCCTAGCTGATGTTGTAGGTGGCTTGGGTAATTTGTCACCTTACTTGCTTTCTGATAGCAAGCCCCTGTAAAGCTTTCTATCTACATTGTCTCTCTGCTGGTATCCTACACTGCCTAAATACAGTGTTTACTGCTTACGCTTCCGCTACGCTAATGTCTGCCATACTCCTCTTTAGGCCTCAACGTCACCTCCACTGCGCTTGAGTCGTTGACATCTGAGAGTGAAGACTCAGACTGAGCTTCTGCAGCTTCATATCTCCTGTTAAGTAAAGCCTCCTCGTCGAGCAGTTCCTGCGTAAAAGCACACTGCTCTAGACAGGCTTGAGTTGTTGGATGATTTAGCCCAAGCGTAGCCTGATAGCCTGCGCAGGCCCGTTTGTAGAGCGGCAAGGCGTCTTCGTACTTGTTCTGTCAATGCGCAAGAAAGGCTGGATTGCTTATGCTTGTCAGCGTCTCTGGGTGCTCTGTGCCAGACACCTCTCCTCTCAGTGCCAGCGTGTCTCGGTGCATCTGCTCGGCGTCTGCGTACTTTCCCTGGCGGCTCAGTGCCATCGCTTCGTGTACCAATGCGACGCCTCCTCAGCCTGGCGAGGGCACGCCGACCAGGCTGAGGCAGAGACACGGCAATCAGGCCGAGGCGACAATGCCTTCCTTTGCGCACTCAACTGTGAGGGGTGATAACAGCTTCCTCTACAGCGCGGCATCTTCTGCCTGCATTGTATCTGCACTCACACGACAATGGCCGCCAGCGACAGGCAGCGCACCTGCGATGACTACCACGTGGCGTGGATCTGCGCCGTCGCAGACCTCGAGCTGCTGCCTGCCCGCCTGATGCTCGACGAAGAGCACCCCGTCCCGCCGTACGACACGCACTACGACGAGAACACGTACATCTGCGGCTCGATCAGCGGCCATGCAGTCGTCGTCGCGACCTGTCCGCCTGGCGAGACGGGCAACGTCAATGCCGGGCGCTTGACGGGGTCGATGTTCAAGACGTTTCGCAACATCCGCATGGCGGTGCTCGTGGGGATCGGGGGCGGCATCCCCGGCCCAGTCGTCTCAGAGGACTCGCTCGACAACATCCACCTCGGAGACGTGGTAGTGGGATGGCCCGGTGACGGCAAGCCTGCCTGCGTCTACCACGACCGTGGCAGATCCAAGGTCGACGGGCATTTTGAGATGGTGGGCACGATGCAGAACGCGGATTGGAGGCTCACTAACGCGCTTGGCGTGCTCGCCTCAGACCACGAGCTGGGCAGGACGACGTTTGACGATCAGCTTGCAAGGCTGCAGCGTCATAAGAAGAAGAGGAAGTTTGCTCACCCTGGCGTCGAGCATGATAAGCTCTTCAAGCCTGCGTACCGCCACAATGGCGACTACACATTGAAGTGCACGGCGTGCGATCCGAGCGAGCTCGTTGAGCGCCCCCAGCGGACCGAAGAGGACCAGCAGACCCTCGTCTTCCATCGCGGGAGGATCGCTACGGGTAACGCAGTGATCCAGGACGGGGAGCTGCGGGACGAGATTGGCGCGCGGTGCGACAGGGCGCTCTGCGTGGAGATGGAAGCAGCAGGCGTCGATGCCAACCGACGGTGCCTGGTCGTCCGCGGCATCTCCAACTATGCGGACTCGCACAACAGCGACATGTGGAGGTCACACGCTGCGGGCAACGCAGCTGCCTTTACGCGAGAGCTGCTGTGCAGGGTGCAGCCAGACACGGTCAAGAAGATGGAGGGGATGTCCGAAGGTTAGTAGCGCGTCTACTCTGCGGCAGATTGCATTGCCTATAGCACGCAGAAGTATGTTAATAGAATGCGCATCAGTAACCAGCACTTAAGCAAATTACTAACACAGAACAGCGCCGTGGCTTGTTCCTCTGCCGAGACCGCGTTCCTTTGTCGGCCGAGAGGCACAGCTGGCTCGACTTAATGCACACATCTCGTCGCAAGACTGTCGTCGACTTGCTGTTTACGGCCTCGGCGGGTGTGGTAAGACGGCCCTTGCCCTCGAGACGGCTTACCGGACAAGAGAGCAGCACCCCATGCGCGCCGTGTTCTGGGTGCCAGTGGTCAGCCAGGCAAGCTTCGAGCAGGCGTACCGAGAGATAGGCGAGCTGCTGCGCATACCGGGCATCGCAGACGCTGAGGCTGACGTGAAGCAGCTGGTCAAGGCGAGACTGAGCGATGAAGGGTTCGGGCAGTGGCTGATGGTGGTTGACAATGCAGACGACGTTGGTGTTCTGTTTGATGCGTTCGAAAAAGAAGGCGGCGCAGACCGATTAGTTGACTACCTTCCACGCAGCCGCAAAGGCTCCTTCGTCTTCACCAGTCGGACGCGGAAGGCTGCAGTGAAGCTGGCCGAGAGCGACATCATGGCACTGAGCGAGCTCGAGCAGCAAGAAGCAGAGGATATGCTAAGGCAGCGTCTACCTGGGAAAGAGCTGCTTGAGAGCAATGAGGTTGTCCATGAGTTCCTCACGCTCCTCACCTACCTTCCTCTTGCCATCGTGCAGGCAGTGGCTTTTGTTGTTGGGAACAACGCTCGCCTCTCCGACTACATCGCTATCTATAAAAGCAGCGAGACAGAGGCTACTGATCTCCTCAGCAAAGACTTCGAAGACCAAGGCAGATACCGGCAGATCAAGAACCCAGTGGCGGTGACGTGGTACATCTCGTTCAGCCAAATCCGAGAGCGAAACAGGCTGGCTGCAGCGTATCTGTCTCTGATGGCGTGCACGACCGGCGAGGATGTTCCCGCATCACTGCTGTGGCCGGGCAGTACGATGCTTGCAACTACGGAGGCGCTTGGAACGCTAAGCGCATATGCCTTTGTTACCGAACGCCAGCAACAGCAGAGTGCAACGGGAGCACAACACCGCGAGTGGGCGTTCAATGTCCATCGGCTGGTTCGCCTAGCCACTCACAACTGGCTCAAAGAGCATGGGTGGTGGCCCATCTGGCCGCGCAAGGCCTTGGCGCGGCTGGTAGAGGTTGTACCCTTTGGAGAGCACGACACACGAGAGGCGTGGACGGCGTATCTGCCCCACGCTGTGCATGTAGCGGGTCTGCCCGAAGTGTACGATGCTGAGGAGAGAGTGTCGCTGCTAGAGAGGGTGGGGCGGTGCGAGCAGACGCTAGGTCGATACAGAGCAGCGGAGCGGGCCCATCGACAAGTACTCGATCGAAGGGAGAGGGCGCTGGGCAAGAAGCACTTGGATACGCTGACGAGCATGAATGAGGTGGGTGTGGCACTGAGCGACCAGGGAAAGTACGCAGACGCCGAGCAGATGCACCGAGAGACGCTGGCACTGAAAGAAGAGGTGCTAGGCAAGAAGCACCCAGAGACGCTGACAAGCATGAACAACCTGGCGGGGGCACTGAACTGCCAGGGAAAGTACGCAGACGCCAAGCAGATGCACCGAGAAACGCTGGCACTGAAAGAAGAGGTGCTAGGCAAGAAGCACCCAGAAACGCTGACAAGCATGAACAACCTGGCGGGGGCACTGAACTGCCAGGGAAAGTACGCAGACGCCACGCAGATGCATCGAGAAGAGCTGGTACTAAGAAACGAGGTGTCGGGCAAGAGGCACCCGCACACACTGATAAGTATGAACAACCTAGCACTGGCACTGAGCCGCCAGGGAAATTATGCAGACGCCGAGCAGATGCATCGAGAGGCGCTGGCACTGAAAGAGGAGGTGCTAGGCAAGAAGCACCCATCAACGCTGACAAGCATGAACAACCTGGCGGGGTCACTGAGCCGCCAGGGAAAGTACGCAGACGCCGAGCAGATGCACCGAGAGGCGCTGGCACTGAAAGAAGAGGTGCTAGGCAAGAAGCACCCAAAGACGCTGACAAGCATGAGCAACCTGGCGGGGGCACTGAGCAACCAGGGCAAGTACGCAGAGGCTGTGCAGATGCATCAAGAAGAGCTAGTACTAAGAGAGGAGGTGTCGGGCAAGAGGCACCCGCACACACTGACAAGCATGAACAACCTAGCACTGGTACTAAACCGCCAGGGAAAGTACGCAGACGCCGAGCAGATGCATCGAGAGGTGCTAGGCAAGAAGTACCCAGAGACGCTGACGAGCGTGCGCAACCTGGCCCTTCTCGCGTATCAATAGAACAAGTACGAAGATGCCTTGCCGCTCTACAAGCGGCCCTGCGCGAGCTACCAGGCTTCACTTGGGCTAAATCATCCGACAACTCGAGCATGTCTGGAGCAGTGTGCTTCTACGCAGCAACTGCTTAACGAGCAGGCTCTAGTGAGTGAGACAGATGAAGCTGCTGAAGCTGAGTGTGAGTCTTCACTCTCAGATGCCAACGACTGAAACGCAGCCAATGTGACATTGGGACCTAAAGAGGAGTAACGGCAGACACTCGAGTAGCAGAAGCGTAGGTAACGAAGACTATGTTAGTACAATCAAAGACAATAGCAAAGAGCCAATGCAGAGCCAATGCAGATAAGAAGCTTCAAAAGAACTCGCTGTTAGAGCGCAAGTAAAGTCATGATACACTCGAGCCAACGTGCAATGTCAGCGACAGGGTGACAAAGATGCGTCTTCTCGTGCGGGGCTATCTTGCGCTAGGCATGATTAGCTGCTGCTCAAGTTGAGAAGTACCAACTCGCGTGGTGACCTCATATGTCTTCGACCAACCACAACCACAAGACTGACAATGACTTTCCATCACTGCAGTGAGGTCTACAGGCTCAACTAAGACCCCTCCAGCAGTCTGAAAATTGTCAAGAGCTCAATGTTGGGCTTATAGTGAGGTGATTCTGTTTTTGTCACGGTTTGGGGTGTTCCTGCCTGTCGTACCTCACCTGTCATGAGAGTGACTGCCACGTCACACTAGCGTTGTTTACAGCTACTCACCTATATATACTATTCGTAGCTTCACTCAATACAACCTCAGTACAATCTTCAACTTCTTCCCTTTGCGTACAGTTCACTGAACTCCAACAGTTTTGCACCAAAAGAACGCTCTCTGCAAATAGTGATGCGACGGCGACAAGACTGGTGATTTTTGGCTGCAAGGGTGTACAAATGCCCGCAAGTGCCTACAGAACAAGGCTAAGGTACTGTTGGTTTTCTCGCTGCGGCGGGCTTCTCGGCACATCGGTGAGGACGTTACTCGCTTTCTTCCTCCTCATGCCCCCCTGCCCCGCCCAAACCTTCCGGTCCACCCAAAGTCTTCTTCACTTCCTCACTCACTTCAATCCCCTCCTCTCTGAACGACTGAAGCTTCTCCCTTACCATTCGTAGCTTCTCCTCACAGACCTCCGCCGCGTCATGATGAGCGTTGAATTTCGGATTAGCGTACTGCATGCGATCGTCCATGTAGCCGTTCCTGTGTTTTTGAAGGCGGTTGGAGACGCGCGGGTTGGAATATAGAGGGTCCTTAATGATGGCATCGTGTCGTGGATCTCGGTTGTGTACGTAAGGGAAGTCCGGGATGGAAATTTGGAGGATGCCTTCTTTTCCATCGTCGATGTCCATGTCGTAACAAGGGCGCTCAATTCGTGCTCGAAGTGCAGGTGCTTTTGCTGTAATCGCTGATGCATATGTTGCGGGCTGTAGAGGGACTCTTTGGAAGCACCCAATCTGCTCTTCTGGACCATGGTGGTGGAATCTCGCGCAAATGGTCTCTCGCGAAGCAGTGACCAGATCAATCGCGCTTTCATTTTTCATAGTTGCAATGAGAGCCTTCTTCACATCGCTATGCCAGTTCCCTAAATGTGTATCACGTAGCAGTGCGTAGCCTGCCTGGCCATGGGTGACCAGCACACTCAGAAAGAACCTGAGTCCCTTCTCGTCGTTCGCATGGAGGAAATTGAGGAACTCGGGCCCGAAGTGCAGAATGTCAAACAAATGGCATTCGAAAAAGTCGTCCATGACTATACGCGGCTCAGACCGCTGGATCTCCTCAACCCACCGATCGGTGACTAAATCACACACCCCGTGCGCACCCATGGTCACAGCAAAGACGTACAGGTCCTCCAGGTCCACCATAGTCCACTGCTGCTCAAAGGTGCCGAATGATGTGGTGACGTGTGTAGGTAAGTGAGATTGAAGCGTTGACGACATGCAAGCGGTAAAGCGGGATATTGTGTCAGGACTGATTTCGGGACCATATTGAGCCGTCCGTATACCCGGATTCTTCTCCAGTGCTTCGCGGACGGTTTTACAGTACTGGACTGCGCATGCTCGACTCATGTGTGAGCCGGATGGAGGGCCGTAGGTTGTGTCGTTGACTTTGCGTACGAACTCCAAGACGTCGGTATATGAAGACGCTGCTTCGAATTTCTCGGTCTCACCTTGCTTCGCTGCTGGATTTTCAGCGCGATCTGAGCATGCCACGCGCACATCTTGATCTTGGTAGATGTGCAATGCTGGTGACGTGGGCTTTGGAAGTTTTTCGAACAGCCTCTTGAGCTTGACATCTAGTCTCGATACCTTCGTAGTACCATGGCGACCTCCAATGTGCCCTTTCTTTTGCGATACAGGAGCCACAGGTTGTGCGCGCGCAATGCCTCTCTTCCCCAACGGCACAAATCCCACCCCCTTCTCCGCATAAAGTCTCGGCGCATACATATTATACACCTTGAAAATATTCGCCACCGAGCAGGATTTACCATCTTTGTTTGGATATCGTTTGGCACATTCTGCTTTGCTGAGGCCGAGCACGTCGAACCAATAAATCACTTGGATGTGTTTTGGGCTGATGGTGGGGCTTGTCCAGTCTGTGATGGCGGGAATGCTGGCTTTGAAGGCGAGGATTTGAGAGATGGTGTATGTGGTGTCGACAGTGGGTGTATTTTGCTTCTTTCGTTGCTTTTGGCGGTGAGGTGTAATTGTGGTGTCTTGCTGACTGTTTGGTAGGGTTGGGGTAGGTTCTTCGTGTTTGCGCTTGCCGGCCATGGTATGGTTTGATGGAAGGGTATTGGTGCGGCGAGCCAAAGTCTTAGGTATGAGAGACAGTGAGCACACAGGGTTGACGGCAAGTTGGTCGGGTATGGGAGAGGGGTCGGAGACAAGAAAAGTATATTGGAGCTATCTTAGGAGGCAGAAGTTGCTGGTGAAAGCTCGTGCGCATTGAAGAGTGAAAAGGAAGGAGCTGGATGATATTTTCCAGAAAGCTAGTGAATATCACCGTCTGTGTAGATGATACCAGAGACGGATTTTGGTGTAACAAGAAGATCGCTAGTCCAGCTTTTTGTGGAAAGAAGTGCTTAGAACATGGTGGATAATTTGAGGATGTAGTTGATACGGGTTACACATACAGGTAGTGACTAGACACATGAAGGCACAAGTAGAATATTCCTCGCATCCGTGTAGTTTATGAACCGCCTTCATCCTTTTGAACGAATTTAAAAACCCTCACTTATGGATCTCTCCGAACTCGGCAAATATGCTAGCTTGGTCAAACCCCCTTTCTACCCCGTCATCACCAGCCTTGGACGTGCCGATCTGCTAAGCGGAGTATTGTTATGTTCTTATGAGGATCACGCAGCAGGCTCGGCCAGTTCAGTAGTGTTCCCTTCGGCCCAACATTGGCACTCCGGCCTGTACGACCAAATTCGATCGAGTTCGGGACCCGGCGACGGCCAGCAGTGTGTGATCTCGCGGCAGGCTCACCAAGTTTGAACGATTAGTAGACGAGGGCGGACCAGATAGAACGCCAAAGTTGATCAAAGTAGGAGTGCCGGCAGTATGAGATTGCGTGGCTGAAGCAGAAGTATATCCGGCAGCAGCGGCATCACGGGCAGCCCTGAACTCTGCACGCTTCGCAGCGTCTCGGGCGCGATTAGCTTCATGCAGCGCCATCAGAGCAGCGATCATGTCCTACCTGCTTCCCTGGGAAGGTAAGTTGAGCATCTCGCAGGTGATTCTGAGGCCGGTCTCATCGAGAGTATCGTAACGGTTGGAGTTTGCCATTGTGTGTTGTGAATATATGCAAGAGTGACGTCTTGAGGGTATTGAACAGAGAGGTATGCCATAAGCGCTCACCCTCGATTATGAGAAGATTAATGAGAACTCACAAGCCGCTACGATTGTGAAGTGGTCTCGAGGGGAGCGGAGGCGCAAGCCCGCTTGCTTGGAGGTTTGCCACCTGGGCGTAGAAGTTGTTTTCGAACAAAGCCGCGACAAAGACACAGCAAGCAGCAACGCACCTGACAATGCCAAGCTCAAGCTCTTTGTTCTCCGACTTACCTTGAATGATTGCATCTGCAGTATCGATCGCAGTCGTTCTGTCACCGTAAACTTTCATTCAGAACTCGTTCCCTGCGGATATCACTTGTCGTCATCCTAAAAGGGCACATTCCCCTAAGCCATCCAGCACATCCATCAAACTCAAGCACGGCAATACGGATTCGAGAGCGCCGCAGAGCCGGCAGACCCAATGACTCCACACCAGCTACCAGTCCTTTCAAGCGAAGCTCGTCAGGCGTCGATAGGCCTGGGAGGAATCTACGGCGACGCGCCGCAACTACGACTTCGCTGTCACCGAACAAACAGTCGAGGTACGGGCCGCCACTTTTATCTCCAATGAGAGCTGCTATAGTGGTAAAGCGTAAGGAGTGGCTCGAAGCGAATACACTGGATCGTGCTGAGGTGTCTGATCCGATCGAAGAAGAGTTGCAAACGCTGCAGCGGCAGGCGTTGGATCTGAATGCGAATGCTTTTCGACTGTGGAGGCGGCGCACGTATCGTAACAATGAGTAGCAGTAGGGTTCGGATGGTCAAGGGAGTCATGACGGGCGTAATGACTGGGAGCGATGTCGACACAACGGTTGGCAGGGACTCTGTGGATTGTCTGGTCAGCTACGACTCTTTCTGTTCCGGCTGTTACTGTCTTGTGTCTTTTCTTTGGTTGATCAGGGACTGCCGCAGACTGAGTAGGTGCGTTCACATCCTCCTTCCATGGTTCGCAACAGGCAACCGGTTCTGCTCGATATCTAGAACGTATAAACATACCTCCAAACCTTCTTTCATGCACAGTACACACCACACATTATTACCAGGCGTAGCTGCAATATAACGCTGCATCCAACAGATTTCAGCTCACCTTCTTGCATTATTCACCCACACCCACTACTTACATTCTCGAGATGCCTGTCACCATCAAGCCATCGCCCGAAGAAGTCGGCGTCACCACTGATGATATCGCGACCTCAAGCGAAAGCCTGTGCAACTACTGAGCTCAGGAAATACCCCATTTCCAAGTTCGCGAAGGGTGTATCCTTCAAAGTTGCTACGAAGCCTGCTATGCACACTTCTTTCCGAGACCTTGACGATGGCACTACACCGAAGGTCATCCCTTATGCCAACGGCTTTATTGAAAGCGTGATCCGAGAATACTAGCAGGACCTGCACCTTGTCTTCTGTCCCGATGATATTTAGTAGGCGGTCATTACACAATTCAGTTTTTACGTCGTTCGCAATGCCAAGGAGTCGCGCAACAAGTTCGTGGCCCATGAGGGCAAGACGACACTCGAGATGCGGGCGAGTTCGTCTCCGGGTGATATAGACGTCGCCGTTATGGCGAGGAAGTTCACCTGCCTCGTCGAGGAGCATCTCGTTGACAAGGAGACTCGGAATTGGATCATCCCGGATTTCACTACGACTACTGACAACGACATCGCTGTCGCAAGCATAACGATGATGGCAACAATGCAGGCCTACTTCGAGTACAACGCGCGTACAGGCTGCGGTTTCCCTCTGTAACTCTGCTGGGCGAAAGGAGCGACTGGATAAAGATGCGCCAGCGCCTGGACCAACTTCTGCAATATGGCGAGCAGCCCACTGAGTGGGCTAAGTTCCTGGTACCCGTTTTCGATTGGTTCAATGCGACATTCGATCGACCCGATGACGAGGGCCTCAAGAGCTTCTGGCTGACTGTGTGCCATGCCGATCATGGCGGAAGCGGACAGCCGGACGTTTTCTCCGGATGGAAGACAGCTTTCGCATTTTAGCTGGTCAATGGCGCTCACAATCCATCTGTCATACATAAGTGTTAGCCAAAGTACCTGAAGCCTTTGAGGCCTCAATTGTGCTTAGATGGCCAATTGTGCTTAGATGGCCGATTGTACCCCATCATTGAGCAGAAGCGCATTCCGCATGGAGTCGTACAAGTTCCAGTTCTCGTCAAGGACATAAGGAGAAGCCCCAGAATCTATACGGAGTTGGTAACTGGCAGCGTCGGCATGAGTATAGTCGATGAGAATGAGACGGAGACAACGGTGCTGCCGAAGAGTGGTTGGTGGATGTGGAAGCTTGGGCAAGAGAACTCCTTCCCGGTGATTGAGATGAGGTCAACAACAACCCGTATTCGGTGTTAATTCAGTACGAGTTGTGCACTGTGTCGAATGTTACTTGTTTGGACGTTTGTAGAAGATTAAGTAATGCAGACAATGGTCTTTAGAGGTATTACAAATCGTGACACTGAACATTGTCAGATATGGTCCGTCAACGTGAACTAATTTAGCAGGTGTTCGCCCACAAACAGTTTCGATGGACTCCAGTAACAGGAAGACCCAGTGTATTCTGCCTTTCGTGTGTGACAATGTGCAAGCTACCAACACGGAGTTGCTATTTCGACTGGGCACCGAATCCCTGCGGTAAAGCGGCTGGCTTCAGGAGACGGTTCCGTACTCGTCTGACAGCACCTATAAACGGCTATAGGACCGCGGCTTGGTGAAGCTTATGTTGACGAATCTTGATCGAATGTATGCTCTCGGGGAGGCGATATGAAGGAACCGTGGCGACACTTTTGTGTACAACTTTACCGAATTGATCTCGAATCTAGAAATACCAGAAGGACCTCACGGCCCGCCGCCCCGATAGCGGACAGAGGGAGGATACGAAGGGACTCGATCAATAGTCATTATAAAGCCCGCCACACAACGCCAACTAAGACGGAGCGAAGCGAGAAAATCAAAAAGATACACGCGTGTCATGCCATGTGCCACTACCCGCAGTATTTGTGGTCGAGACGGTGAGCCTCACAGGACAAAACGACGCGTTGGGTCGCGTGAAATTAGTGTCTTGGCTTGTTGGATTTGCCCAGATGCAGTCACGTTGGTGCTCCTCCGCGCCCTCTCTGTGGTAGTTTCCGCTCACCATCTCTCAAGCCCTATCAGAAGTTAACACTTCTTTCCCAGCTCATTCTGCTGTCTTCGAAGTTCGAGTTCAGAATCACAAGCGCCATACCAACCCCGCATGGCGTCTGTTTTCGCCCTTGCTTTGCATCGCAGCGCTAACGCGGAGCTTAAAAATCATTCGCGGATAATCATCTGACACCCTGGGCGTTCGATGAGACTCTCACTTGCTTTTGCGGTGTCGTTCCACCTATACAAACCTGAGCGGACGGCGTGGCTGTCACCTGTTCGCGAGTCTTTGCTTCGAAGGCCAGATCTGCTCTCGATGAAACCCATTGGGTCAACCACAGCGGCTGGCCCACCATAGTCTCCGAACATGTGCAACTGTTCGGCCACCCATAATCTCATATCGCGAGAAGAACACGAGATTCATTGGACCCCAGCTTTGTCAAAATTAACGCGGCCCGCTCGACCCCGTTCTAGTGGGTAACAGATCCGGAGATCGGGCCCCCATGGGCTCCCCGCATTGAAGTTGTTAGGGTATCTTTGTACCTTCAACACCGATTGGGAGCCATTCCCCGTGGCGTTTGAACAACAGTCCCCATGCAAGTCGCAACCCTCTTTGAGACGGCATTGCGGAGCTGATTCGCCTTCCCCGCGTTCCTGTCGACCTGCAATTCAGCGGCGTTTTCCACTCAAACGGTTGAGGCTGCTCAAGCGCCTAGCCGCGCCTTGCCCATTGCGGCAGCGGAGTGTTGCTCTCCGGCCCTCTTTTTACCAGGCACGGTTTCTAGAACCAAGCTCTGATACAGCACCTCTGAAATGGAGCGTTTACCCGGATATTGCGGGCCCAAAGGCCGGGGCCCTACCCTGGTGACCTGAAGACTGCAATCATCCTGGATGTTTTATAGTTCGTCGGAGTCGCACGTTCTCCATCCATCAGCAGCAGCTCCTGTCTCGAGCAACACCGCAACAATGGCTGACACCAAGGAGACCACCGAGCACATCCACCAGACCAACTCAGAGAATGGCGTAGGTATCCTGATGTCGATTACATCTTACGAAGCTGACAACATGTAGGACCTGAAGGGCGCTATTGCTGAAGTCAAGGTCATCTCTGGTTCCGAAGCACTCGCAGAGGCCAAGCACAAGGAGCCCGTCGCACTCTTCACCCGTCATGCCCTGGTGCTCTATGTCTGTGCCATCGTCGGCTTCTTCTGCTCTACTTGCAACGGGTTCGATGGATCCATGTTCAATTCTCTTCTCACGAACAACACCTTCAAGACCTACTACAAGGTGGACAGCACCGGTGCCTGGGCCGGTATTGTCACCTCCATGTACCAGATTGGTGGTGTCGCCGCTCTTCCCTTTATCGGTCCTGCCTGCGATACCTGGGGCCGCAGGTACGGAATGATGATCGGTGGTGCTATTGCCAGCGCGGGTGTTATCATTCAGGCTACCACAAAGCCTGGCGATAGCGCTGTTGGCCAGTTCATGGGCGGTCGTTTGTTGCTCGGTTTCGGTGTGCCCATCCTCACCACTGCTGGGCCTCTGCACGTTATCGAGACAGCACACCCTGCTCACCGCGGTATCATCACTGGTCTCTACAACACTTTCTGGTAAGTGATATCCCGACATGCCGTTTTGACTCTATTTCTAACCCAAAACTAGGTTTGTCGGCTCTCTTCTTGCTGCTGGTGTCACTCGTGGCTCCGTCGATCTTCCAGGCAACATGAGCTGGACCGTACCCGTCTGGATGCAGATTCTCTTCCCCGCTTTGATTCTCCTCCTGGCTTGGTTCCTCCCCGAATCTCCTCGCTGGCTCTACACTCGCGGCAGGCACTCTGAGGCCAAGAAGGTCCTTGCCAAGTACCACGGACTTGGCAAGGAAGAGAGTGTCTGGGTCACCATGCAGATCAACGAGTACGAGGAATACCTCAACATGGACGGTGCCGACAAGCGCTGGTGGGATTACAGCGCGCTGTTCAAGCACCGTGCTTCTCGCTACCGTCTTGCTTGTAACTGTACCGTGGCTATCTTCGGTCAGTGGGCAGGTAACGGTGCAGTCGACTACTTCCTCGATGGTGTCCTGGAATCGGCCGGTATCACTGAGCAGCTGAAGAAGATGAACATCAACCTGGGCAAGTCTTGCATGCAATTGACCTTCGTAAGTCACCAGTCCTAAAAGATCGAGATGTTGTATGCTAACTGTGTATAGGCTGTCATCGGTGCCTTTTTCGTTGACAAGCTCGGTCGCCGCCCTATGCTCATTGGTACATTCTCCACCGTCAGCTTCATTTGGATCGCCGCCATTGCCTCCGTCGCCGTCCAGACAAAGACCGGCGCCGACTCTGCTAGTAACGCATTCATCGCCTTCATCTTCCTCTTCAACGCCGTCTTCGCCTTCGGTATCACACCTCTCCAGGCTCTGTACCCCGTCGAGGTCTTGTCTTTCGAGATGCGTGCCAAGGGCATGGCTTTCTCAAACTTGTCCCTCACAACGGCTATGTTGATCAACCAGTTCGCGTACCCGATCGCTTTGAAGAATATCCAGTGGAAGCTCTACATCGTCTTCGTCATCTGGTGCCCGATTCAGGCTTTCGTTGTTTGGATGTTCATTCCCGAGACCAAGAACCGCACACTCGAGGTGAGTTCTGAACGCTTGCAGCTGCTGCAGAATTTCAATTTACTAAGTCTTGACAGGAAATCGACGATATCTTCAACAGCCCCAACCCCCGCAAGGCTTCGCTCATCAAGAAGAAGGTTGCCACCGATGCCAGCGGCAACATCCTCGAGGTCGAGAAGATCTAAACTCGTTAACAGCTCTTCGATGCTACGAACCTTTATTGTTCGGTTGTAGGCGACAGGCGCGGTGGTGCCATAGGAGACGGAAACGGATGTGCGGTCTGTAGTCGACTTTTGCTCAGATTGGCACTATTAATTGATACCCCTTCACTAAAATTTGCCTGTGTTTCATCTGCCCTCGCCATCTTGACAGTGTTGCCAAGAATTTTGACCCAATCTACGATACGCTCCGCGCTCTCGCAGGGCAGAACACAACGCTCAACAGCACTGTTGATATTCATATCCGTCAGCGCACATCAGAAGTCGAACATTAACGTACTTTATCCAAGCCTTTCTTTGCATTGTCTTCTCCATCTTCCACCGCCACGGTCCGTCGTTGTGCATATGAAATATTCTCGGCTCATCCCACTGGCATCCCCAAAGCATAACGACCTCGAGCTAGCTTTCCATACATCATCACCACTGCATCTCCATTTTCGCGGCACTAACAGGTGGTACCGGAACCGCCGCCTTCGACGCTTGCTGTAAAGTTGCTTGATTGGACAATTGCAGCTCAGGACCGACGCTGGACGCTTGGGATGGCACATACCGGGGCCAACGTAGACACCCGGGTCGTGTATGAATCAAGCTCAACTACCTCTCTATTCGTACTTCTTCTTCAACATGCCTAAAATTTTTCGAGGTTGCTCTCAACGTGTTAGAAAGAATTAACTGGAAATGCATGATGATCTGTGTCGAAAAGTCCAACTTCAAGCAGTGATGCTTTCAGCAACCATCACTACACGTCGTCATGTGCAAAAGTCGGCTTCTCAAACCCGCAAGCAAGCAACTCCGTGTTCTGGAAGTCGAGACCCAACAATCTCATGTGTGCGAGCGACAATCTTCGCGATGCTAAACAAAACCCCTACCTTGTTGAGAGAGCACGGTATACCTTACACCCATCCAGGGTTGTAAAACATCAAAAATACTGACGCCAACCACATGGCCAGAAATCGAGCTGTTGCCGAAATTAAAGTATGCGAAAATCCATGACCTGGGTGATAATCTAATGTTTTCATGTTCCGAAACGAAGGTTGTCAGTTTCTTTCCACGACTGAGCAGCGGCAACTGATCAAAATGCCATAAGCACTACCTGATGCGCCCAGCACGGCGGTGTATGGAAACTGTTCCGTTCCCCAAGTTTCCCATTTTCTGAACCCAAACAGGAATCCCCTAACGACACGAGGGAGCGCGTTCATGTCTTTCCTACGAATTCCGGGCTTTCAGAAATCTTCGCCCAGACTTCTATGCGTTGACGGGGCCAAAAGACTTGCAAGTCTCCTCAAGTTGATATGTAAATGGCGCGCGATTGTCGTCCTTGATGATACCAAGCTGTATGACTCACTCTGCCGCTTGGTTGAAATAAAAACACGAATAGTATGGCCAGTCCTCAGATTCGCTTCGGACAATCCTCAATGATTGGTCATATATCTTGCGAACAAAGGCATAGCAATGAGACTAGGCCAGGTGTCTGTATCCAAGCATCAATTCGGGGTTGTTCGCAAGTACCAGCTCTTGAGCTATCCACAGGCGACCGAACCATGGTCGTCGGCACAGCAGTTTGGGCGCTTTCAGGGAGACGAAGAACGTCTTCAGAGGTCTCTGGTATGTTCCCTTCTAGAATTGCTTTCACAAAAAACTCGTCATAGGGCCGCTCTGGACCTAACCACACTATTACGTCACCGGCGGAAGAATAGATCTAACAATCGTTTGCGAGATGTACGGACCCCCCTTAATTTTGGCACAGTGACTGTATGTACCACAGTATAGCATGCAGGGCATAAGCGTGAGTGGTTAATTGTCTTGGTGCCCTAAAGCATCCCACATCCTGCCCTGCGTCCTGTCACCCAGACTGTCACTCATCCTATCAGCCAGGCTTAGCTAGCCACTCGGAAGCTCTCGCCCACCTGTGACGTATGCTCGATGATATTGAGCCAAAATCCAGGGGGGTTCGTACATTTTGTAAGGCATCGATATCCATAAGCTGGACTTGCTGGTTTCTTTCTGCGACATCGTTCCGGCGAATGCACAAAGCGTCGACCCAGAGCAGGAGCCGTTCCTGGGAAACGCGTTCCCCAGCAATTTCTCGGAGATGGCGAAGAGCGCGGTCCAGATTGCTGCCGATTGTGACATGTCTGCTGTTCAGCAGGGCCTGGTGTGTACAGAGTTCTTTGCCCCACACATATGACAGCGCGGCATACCCTAGACGTTTTCCTTCCAACCGTTGGACACGCCGATAGATTACGAGATCATCGTCGAATGCGTCTGGCTCGAGTTTGAGCAGCCGGATGTGTCTGATCGATGGGTATGTGTGGTGACTCAGGTGGATCTGATATTGAAAGCGGTAACGACTTGTCCATGATGAAGCCAACTGGTGTGTGAAAAATGATCGCGATGCATCCTTGAGTGAAGCCTGTCTTCGGTCGCTGCTCGACCACTCCAAAATTCAACGGTTCGATAGCGCTATGAACGTGACGCCGTTGAGACAAACTAAACGCCATCGACAAACAGAGGATCTAATACGACCGTGGTAAGAGCTGTTGGAAGACGATGAGGCTCGTATGGTGGAAGTCTTCCCCGGCGCATGATGATCAAGTCGAATGGTAGTGTAAAGAAGCGCAGAGGATGAACTGTAGCAAAGCTGGAGGCTTCGAGTGAAGAGCAGTCAGTAAGTGAGGTGCAGCATATGCTCGTCGATGCAGACCCCCTGCAGGCGTTTCTCTTACCACACCTCTCTTGCGTTAGATAAGCCAGCCTTGACCCAGATTACGAAGGACTGGCCCAGTCATCGTTACTGATGAGTTGGTGGCGCGTCGCGTGATCACATGCCGAGTGATCACACGCCGAGTGAGCAGTGCGAATCCGCCGTGTTGACACCGGATTGCCAGGTGAGGTGGAAGGCTATGAAGGCCCCACACAAGACTCCCGAGAAGCAGTCCTGGAGCTTCCCAATCCCCAACATCTCATTATTGAAAAGGAGAAGACATCATAGATAACTCAGTACAATAAATGAGAAGCAGCGTTCAATGATAATGGAATTCCTTAAAAAGCGCTTCAGACTACTAAAACGCTAGATATGCTATGCAACGCCAACAAATGCCACAAACTCCCCCCCCTACTTTCCACCAAATTCCTGCGCCAACTTACTCCTCGCGCGCAACTGATGTCCATACTTGAACATCACAAACGGAATCAAACTCAACACCGTTCCGAACAACGCAAGAATGAGACCAGCGTACTGGCTTCCAACGTTGTGGAAGAATGCGCTGGCGAACAACGGCGTAACCGCACCGAGCGTGTTACGCATGAGACCTTGGCCGGCGATGGCGGATGAGGATGATTCGCCATAGCAGTCTGCAGTGTAGCTGTACGTCGACTCGAAGACGAAGAAGATACCAAACGCGATGGGTGCGAGACCAATGGTCGGTGCGATCCAGGGAATGTATCCGTACTGCGTGAACGAGTAGATAAACAGACCAATTGGCAACCACACAGCGCCGAACATAGCACCGTAAAGACGGTGCTCAGGCACGACCTGTACCGCCGGGTCGGCTTGGAGCTTGTTGTACTTGCGCATCTGGAGGTGGTGCGCCGCCCAGCCCAGGAACGTACCGATAGCCAAACTGATGTAGGGCAGACCGGCAACGCCCTCGTTCCAGCCACGCTTCTCGGTGAACGTGATCGGGATGACAGACAGGAAGAGGAACACGACGGCCCAGCAGAACGCGATCCACATGCCGAACGCGAAGACAACGGGCTCGGTGACGAGCATGCGGATAGCCTTGACGGATGATGCTTTGAGCATGGACTTGACGTCTGGAGTGTAGATGTCGTCTTCGGCGACGTAGCGGTCGTCGCCAGTAGCCTTGCGGAGCGCAACGGCGCGCTTGTGCAGACAAACACCACCACGGGTCTCGGGGAAGGCGACGAAGATGGCGATGAGAAGGGGAACGTTGGCGATACCCTGGATGCCTTCGATCCAGCGCCAACCGATGGCCTGGTCGATGAAGCCGGCGTAGATGGGCGCGGAGACGGTACCGAAGATAGCGACGAAACTGAACATGGCCATGGGACGACCACGCTTCTCGGCGGGGTACATGTCGTCGAAGGTGCCTCCGACCAGGATGGTACCAACGCAGCCGAACAAACCGAGCAGGAGACGAAGACCGATGATGGTGTTGATGCCTGGGGCGAGAGCGAGTCCGATGAAGAGCAGCGAGAAGCAGAGGAAGGAAGAGGCGTAGACAATCTTGCGGCCGACAAGCTCGCAGAAGGGGGCGAGGACCATGGGTGCGACGGCACATGCCATGTTGAAGGTGAACAGACCCCATTGACCCTGAAGACTACCGACGCCGAACTCTTCGCACATGCTGTTGATACCTGAAGAGTAAGCTGTGGTTGCGAGGCCGATGAACAGCGTCATCAAGTTGAGCATGGTGGTGATGCTGCGCTTGTACCAGGGGTTCCAGTTGAAGGGGTTCTCCTTGTCGCCAGTAGCGAAGGTGAGGACGATGTACTCCTTATCATTGTGCTTCACCGTCTCGGTGAGAGTCAGTGGCATGTCGATATCGACGGTCTTGATGGGACCGCAGTCTGCATCGATGTCGTTGTTCTCTTCGCTGACATGCTTTCCACCGACAATCCTCCCGATCATGGGTTCGCCCTTCTCGTTGCGAACGATCTCTGAGTTATAGTCTGGAGTATCAGCTCCATCATCTTTGCTGTTGGCCCTGGAGAGATAGGCCTGAGGTGTGGCTGCGGCAGTGGAGCGCGCCCGCGGCGTGGCGGGGGTGCTTGCTGCTACGAAAGAGTTGTTTCTCGATGCTACGTAGGAGTTGTTTCGGGACTGGACTATCGAGTTGGCCCTGGACGCAGCCAACGAGTTGGGCCTCGAAGGGGGTCTGGAGAAAGAGGGACCGTAGTAGCCTGACATGATGTTGACAATTGAGGAAGTTTTTGGGGCTTGACTGCGTGGAGAAGATGGGGAGCCACGCGCGTTTTGTTTATCGCCAGCAGGCTGATACTCGGCGTCCGAAGCAAGCTGCCTTGTTTAGCATGCTGCTGGCTAGCGGTCAGTGTGGAGCTCAACACCGTTATCAGGTCCACATATAATCTGACCATGACGGTGTGGACAGGTGAGCTCGAAACTGTGCTAAGCATGCGATGTACGCCGCGAGACATATCGGCATGTACGTCCTTCTCGCGACACGAGACGGCCAGCACTGGCCTGGCCGAGCATTGAAAAATATTAGAATCGGCCAAAGAATCTGCAAACCCCTGTAATCATTACAGACACACCGAGAATTGCCTCTCACGCCAAGACTGAAATAAGGTGAGGCTCTGCGGGATCTGGACAGGGGTCCAACTTTGCGAGGCTCCACCCATTCTACGGTCCGTTCGGCAAGCTCAGACGAAATGATGTATGGTTTGTGGTATGACGTCGATAGTGGGCTGAAAACCTCTTCGAAGCGCGACGTCTGGCCAACAAACATCGTACCAGCCCTAGCTTGGCCGGTGTTTTCCCCCAAAGGTCGCAAAGTTTTCTGTTGAAGTCGCGAGTGAACACAAATTGCACTTGGCACCATCCGGCGTGCTAGGCATGCACACATCTTACCTGTACCTGTCAATGACATCAATTTGCACATGCAGGGCTGCAAGCATTCTTCTTGGCCTCTTCTTTTGTTTTTGATGTCTTCTCGCGTCTCAACAACTGCGCTAGGCGCGGGTTTTGATGTTGTGCACTGTTTTGTCCAAGTCGTTGGTGAGTGAACGGCATCGTTGTGCACCCGTGCGTGTTCGCGCTCGCGCACTCGCGCCACTCACTCTCGGGATCGGCGTGAGGCTCTAGGTGGGTCTGCAGGGGCCCGCACGGATCACGATACACAGCGTGATACTTGCGTGTTCTCCGTTCACGTCTAGGATGTACATCGTCTTTCATGCGATGAATACGATGTTATCTGGTCGGAAAGTTGCGGGTGGATGATCATAAGCAAGGAAAAGAGGGCAGGTGTGGAGAGTCTGGGTGCTCTTTCCAATGACGTTGATGCTCCTCTCCCCCAAGATTGTACATCCCTCCCATCTTTGTTCGTGTCGCAGCAGTTGACGGACTAGTTAGCTGCGTTGTGGTCATCTTCATTGCCTGAGTCGCGGATTGCGCTCGCACAGCATCCAAGACTACCATGAACAAGACTTCGAAATCTACACTTCGCAAGTGTATCTGAACGCGCATGATCTTGTTCCAGTCATACGAGTAGGATGTGTTCTGGTAATCGACCGTACGCGATCAGTAGCTTCATGGACGTTCGAGCATTAGACATAACCATCCCGTCTCGTCGCTGCACCGTAGTATTGAAGTTCTTTCCCATGATCGTACATCCCTTCGACCCAAACCTCTCGAAATCCGACCACCGCGGCGGCTCTTCACCTTTCTCGACTTTCTCGACGGCTTCTTGAACGAAATCGTAACCCCACAAGTGATCAGCCACGTGGGCGACGTTGATCATAGTGTACATTAGCTTTTCCTTGGCTGCTCTAGGAACTAGACGAAGGATGAAGGGGTAGTTGATGCCGAACAGACCAACAACAATATCACCTGGTCGGATGCCGTTGGCGCAATCGGGATGGTAGATTATACCCACATCACCCTCTTCAGTCACAAACATTATGTGACTTTCCGATTTCCTCAAGTCACGCAAGACTTCGAAACACGGCGACCCTTCTTCGACCCTCGGATCATCTGGACTTCGATCCACTCTCTCAGTATGCGGTCGAGGGTTTCGACGTCTTCGACACCGTACGACATATCCATACTGATTGCATCAATCAGCTTCTTTACCGATATGCCTCTGGCTTGCACAATATTATTGTACATCTTGTACATTGCCGTTGCTGGTATAGTGCCCCACTCATTAAATACCTCGGTGTCGATATTGGGAAGGTCGCCTGTGGTTTCCGCAACGGTTCCCATGTATGAACCAATTGTCGTCAACTATTTATAGCCAGGGAAGACCCGGGAACATGGGTGCAAGTCCGTGAGATCGAACATGAGCATGAGCTCATCAACGTACTTGGCCACGAGAGCACCCGGCGTATATACACCTCGTATAGATGGGGTCCGTGAAGTGATTGCCAGATCACAGACCCAAGAGGGATAGTCGCTGGCAATGACTGACTATGCTGAACCAGGGATGTGCATAGAGGGTAATGAGAACCAGGAACATGGGCATTTATACCCTCGAATCATGGAGATCGTAGCCCTGGCAACAACGTCAAGAGTGGACATCGTATAGTCAGGAACGATATGAAAGTTTCATGAAAAGACGTAAAATGTACAATCGAGAAAGAAGGAAAGTGGTATCATTCGCGTAAATCCTACACAGATCAACCGTTCTGCCTGCATGCCTCCTAGCAGCCGAGCGATCCCTGTTACCCAAACGCCATATGTGCATTAGACACAATGCATAATCGAGCCGATTCTTTACGTCTCTTTCTTTCGACTATTGTGCATCTCCCATACTGTCGGCACCGAACGTGCCGTCACCAAAGTAGAGCATATCGTGTGGTAGGTATTCTAAATCCCAAGGCATCATGTCTGCGCCGAGCACGGACATATCCACATCCTGAGTGTCGATGACCATATCGCCAAACGCGTTGTCAGATGGCGTGTTGTACATGCCGAATGTGGGCGAAAACTCGCTTGGTTGCACCTGGTGGCCTTGGTTGTTTTGCAGGGATGAAGATCTGACGTAGGATGTAGCGTTCTGCAAAGATGCATGGGTGGGGGATGCGCTGTTGAACGGAGAGTGGAGGTTCAACAGAAGATCAGCATCGGAAACTAGTGCAGGGTCAGGCACGGGTACAACGCCGTACGGATTGTTGACCGGAGGCGGGGGCATCGACGCGGGGTCGAAGGGTGGGTGGACGGATGGAGATGGCATGGGTGGCTGCGATGGCTCAAACTTGACGGGAGGGTTCGATATGAGCGAGGCGATGGAAGGATGCGTACTAGCAGGCGCCCGTTTCGACTGTGCTGGTTTTGTTTCGTGTCCGGCGTTGTTTTCAGATGTGTACATGACTGCGACGTTTGTAGATGGAGAATTCATTGTGCCGGTGAGTGACCATCCGATGGCTGTTGGTGAGTGAGTAGTGTTATTGCGCAAAGTCAAATACAAACGTACCTTGACTTGAAAGGCCCATCGGTGAGCCAGGTATGGTTGGCGTTCTGGCGCCCTTTCTGATCGCAGCAGGCATGTTGGCCATATCGCCGTCCGGACTTCGCGCCGTCAGGTACGTGCCCCAACTAAGCTTCCTCCGCCACCCTGGACTTGTGAACGAAGGCTCCGGTCGAGGCACCTCCAGAGCACTCTCCATTTCTTCCCTTGTGTACAGTAACGGGTTGTCGATACCCTTCGCCTTTTGATCCAACACAGTTATGATGTACTTGACACCTTCCCAATATGTCTCGAGTGACTTGAGTGCACGATAGCAGCGCTGGTAGTTTTGATTTGCTGCCGAAGCGAGCAGGGTGTGCTTAACAGCTTGCTTTTGCTCGTGTTCATGCAAAGCATTCAGTCTGTCGCCGTTGCTCAGGTTCTTGTCGAGGTTCAGTTGCGCGAGTGGAGCTCTAGTTTCCCTCTGCTCGCCATGCAGCCCTGGCGACATAGGGCGGGACTGGGGCCGAGATTGCGGCTGAGATGATGCTGAGTGCATCGCAGATTCCTGCAGAAAGGCGCAGGCAGCTATGTATATTGGTTGGCTGTACCACCGTTAGCCAGCGAGTAGCGGGTGAGCTGAAGAAAGGTAACATGCCTTGTAAACGGGTTGCCCACTCCGGTCTTTGCATCAATGAGCTCAGTAAACGACAGAATGTCAGCGACCGTCTTGGCTGAAGACAAGGAAAGCTCTCTGCTATTAGCAGACAGCGATTGCGGGCTCCCTTCAAAAGGCTTCAATAGAGTCGGCTGATGAAGCAAGACTATGAGGGTGTGGAACCAACAGTGGAGGAGTAGGAAATTTGTCCCTTGGTTGAATTTGACGTACTGCTGGAAGTTGACAGCGTTGAAGTGTAGCTTGGGCGACAGGTTCTGATAGATTTCTGTCAAACGATTCTCAAGAGCGCCGAGCTGCTTCTGCAGGTCTTTTGTAATGTCCGAGACGTCTCTCACTCTGTTGAGCAGGTCCGTCACACGCCCATAGAGGTGGATGATCCGGATAAGAGCGGGGAAAGGCAGTGGCCACCCTGATGCTGGGTCCACTTCGTCTAGGGAAGGGAAGCTGATCTCGATGTCTCGATCGCGAATTGTAACCGGACGTCCAGTACCCGACGAGATGACACGATCGAGGAAGAAGATGGACCAAAAAGTGTCCAGACGCTCGCGTTCGACGGCTCTTTGTTCCTGTTCAGCAGGGGCCATTTCCGGGTTCCGTCGTGAGTTTTGCTCTTGCAATGCTGGCGCATTGCTGCTGTTGGAGTCCGTCTTGACGAGCTTGGGAGTGATGCCGCTACGACCCTCGTACTTCAGCCCCTCCAGCGTCTGCATGCCCAGATCTTGCGCCATCCGGATAGCGATACCAAGGTACATCCAAAGGCCACTGTCGCGACTCGCTCCAAACTCATCGTAGGCCAGCAGTAGAGCGGCCTGCACCACAGCGACATTAGGACAGGGGAAGGCGTCCGGCATGTTTGACTTGGCTCGTTGTGCGAAAGCTTGCCCAGCTTCGGGGTGATGTGTCTTGGCCTTCTCCTCAGTCCCTTCTTTCTGCTGATTGCCGCCTCGCGTCAGCATTGGGTGAGTGGAGAACCTAGCAGCCAGTGCGCACACGGCATCAACCAGGATGGCGTCCACTTGCTTCTCCTCGAGATCTCGCATGAAACGCTCACGTTGCAGGAAGGGGAAGCAGCAGCCCAGGTTGACGAAGAACAGTTTACACAGATGTGTAATCAGCGGACTAGGTGACAGGTCGGAGTTGTCATAGACGGGTATCTCGAGGGGTGTACGAGCTTCGGCTCCTGTTGGCGAGCCTAGAGGTTCTGCGGGCGACGAGTCGACTGCATGCTGATCTGACAGTGTCTGTGTGCTTCCGTGACGCTGACCTCTGACTTTGACGACCATCTGCCTGAAGCCAGGCATGATAGCTGTGGGCCCAAAGTAGCGAAAGTAGGGCATTCTGTTGCGTGTGTTGAGACTGAGTGCGCCATTGTCGCCGTCTCCCTCTTGCTTCGGTGCGAGATTGTGGGTAGACGAGTCGGACAGCTGTGACATGTTTGGCGAGGCTAGGTGAGGCAGTTGCGGATGAGCGAGCCGGGCAGGAGCGAGCTGGGCAGGAGCGAGCTGGGCAGGAGCGAGCTGAGCAGGAGCGAGCTGGGCAGGAGCGTCGGCTGGAGCTTCGCTTTTCCGTACAGGCGCACTGGTCAAGGCCGTGCTCTCCCTGCGGACAGCCTTCTTGCTGTCGCGACCCATATCTGCTGCGCCGTTGTCGTCTCCATAGCCGGCGCATTCGTGCTTGTTCTGGGTACATGTGCCGCAGATTGGGCGTTCGCCTATGGTGAATCAGAATGCACTTGCACTGCAACCATACATATGTCGACCCACCAGAACAGCGCGTCTTCTTGCGGCGACAGGTTAAGCAGGCCGAATTGATCCTGCGCCGCTTCGCGTACGGCCCATCGTGGTTGATGACGAAGCGGATGGGCTTTGGCTGGGGAGCAGAGGCGGGGGCAGAGGCGGGGGCAGGACCATTTGCAGCAGCCGTCGAGGGAGCTCCTTGATTCATCACAGAGCCTGCATGGAAGGCTACACTGCTGTGCTGTGAAGTGTGGGGAGCCCAAGCGGGGCGGCAATGCTCAGGACCACGACAGTCAGTGGAGAAGTCTTGACACAACCTGGGAGCGGGAGAGGCTGCGGAGAGACAGGCGCATGATCTAGCGAGCAGTCAACCGTCCGACAGACGAGGACTGGGGTTGGGCTAGACTCCAGTCGGCAGTCCGAAGTGTGATGGGCCGGGAGTGCTGCGGAGATTCTGGGAGGGGGGGGGGATGTGAACGAAGCCCCACCCGCCAGGCGAACCAAGCGCCTGGGAAAAGTTGCGGCAGACGGCAGACGGCAGACGGCGGCAGGTGGCAGATGGCAGACGGCGGCGACAGCGCGACACACCGCGACCTGCATCGTCGTCCCATCTTTGGTGGTGAGTGGTTCCATGACTTGCTGTGGTCTTTTGCAGCTTGCCTCCGATAAGCAGTGTCTTGTCCCTAATGCGACAATGCGACAATGCTTCCACCGTGTCAATTCACTGCATAGCACCCTGCTGACCAATGCATCACAGCCGTCACTGTCTCAACAGCCTCATCATGGAGTCAATACGGCCAGCGCTCGCAACAGTGCGCCTAGCAGTCCCCCGTCGCGCATACCGCCCCTTTTACCAGTGTCTGCACACATCAGCAACACGATGCGCCACCCCTCTCCCCCACCCGTCCGTACCTGGACCGCCGCCAGAGACGCCCACGCCCTCCGCCTCGGACGCTTTGGACCGCGTCGCGAGGAAGCGGCGGCAGGCTGAGATGCTGCAACAGGCGAAGGGGGCTCGCACAAGCGCAGCGAAGCCCACCAGCGTGCTGAAGAAGCGCTTCTGGAACGATGTCAACATCAGGGAAAGCGACAACGGCTTCCAGGTCTTCCTCGACAACCGCCCCGTCCGCACTCCCAACAAGGACACCCTCACCGTCCCCGCGTCGAAGCACCAGCTCGCCACTGCTATCGCCCTCGAATGGGATCTCCTCGTCAGCGCACAGCAGGCCCTCAAGACCCACTACATCCCAATGACCTCGCTCGCCGCCCGCGCCATCGACGTCGAGCTCGCAGACAGCAAGGGCGACGAGCGCGTCCGCGAGTCTATCGTCCAGCTGTGCATGCGCTACCTGTCCACCGACACGCTGCTCTGCTGGGCGCCGGAGCACGTCCTCAACGACGTCAAGCAGAACGGCAAGACGCTGCGCCAGCTGCAGGAGGAGGTCGCGACAGGCATCATCGCATACCTGACAAGCAACGTCTGGCCCGGCGTGCAGATCGAGCCCATCCTCGATGCCGATAGCATCGTGCCCATCGACCAGCCTGAGATGACCAGGGAACTCATCCGCGCATGGGTCTCCGGTCTGCCCGCCTACGAGCTCGCCGGCCTCGAGCGCGCCGTGCTGGCCAGCAAGAGCGTGCTGATCGCCACACGACTTATCCACGAGTGGGCCGAGGGCTTCGCCGCGTCACGCCAGCCCGGCGCAAAGAAGACGTTTGGCATTGAGGAGGCTGCTGAGGCTGCGAGCCTGGAGGTCAGGTGGCAGACAAAGGCATGGGGAGAGGTCGAGGACACGCACGACGTTGAGAAGGAGGACATGAAGCGCCAGCTCGGCAGCGTTATTCTGCTTGTTGGCGGCGACTCGGCATAAGCACGGGTCGGGCGTGTAACGATAGATGTAGAATAGACGGTAGCAAGAGCTGCTTTGTAGACATGTGACTCCCTACCGCCCCGTTTAAACACGTTCCAAACATGGTCTTCTCTTTCCCCACTACGCACCGTGACAGGGTTGACCTCTTCAAGTCGTTGCACCTTGGATGATGGCCCCAGGGTGAGCCGGCAGGAAGTCGTTGGACAGCTACCAAGACGGGAAGGCGCCGACCACGCAATTGAAGAAGTCCTGCAACCCATACTTTCTGTCTCCTCTTCACCAACAAACCGCAACCCTCACTGCCACTTACGCTTCGCCAGATTTTCTCAAGCGATCAGACTGGAACTCATCAACGCGTCGTTCGTTTTGGAGGTCAGAGCTCATCAGGTTAGACTGAAGATTGCTCATGTCAAGGAGAGCGCTCATTCGCTGGAGCATGCAGAGCCCGGAAGATGATCAGGATCCCGTACATGTAGTTGCATCTTTGCAACTATCGTGGAGCGGTAGAATTCTGGCGAGGAGCTCGTGTGTGCTACCTCTAGGCTCACGATAGCTGGCCCGCGAGAACAGCATTGAGCGATATCACTCGACTACTTCACGGACCTCATGCACAATGGTCGGACTTTTGAGAGTACAGACTCAGGGAGTACCTGACCATTCGAACTACGGTATCAGCAATGCAACAGTATCAAAACAACCGCATTGAAGCAATCTCATACACACTACATTGGAGGACTTACGATTCTATCAATTGGGCTTCATCATGACAATTTCAGCTAGACGTACAGCTTCTTCACTCTCGAACCACTCGCCGTTCATCGTTCCACGCTTGTACAGGATAGGCGTGGCAATGAGCTCCACATAACATTTCCTCAGCTCTTCCATGTCGTCCTCGTCCTCGTCCCTGGGGTCGAACATGAACATGGGGTTGAACCTTAACGACCCTGCCTCCGGCCTCGAAGGGAAACGAATGCTCCAGAGTGCCCGTTGGCGACGAAGAAGTTGTGAAAACTGTACAGCATCTATGAAGATACGGTGCAGTTCATTCTTGTCAGCTTCTAGGTCCTCGGCTGCCCCTGTCTTATGCCAAACCGTTACAACCTCTAAAACCTCAGACACAGCATTCGCGACTGCAGCCCGCACCTGATCAGTCGGTTTCTCACCCTGGGTGGAGGTCGCTCTTCCCAGAAGCTCAGCAGTAAATGCTCGCCAGTCATTGAATGACTTGTAAGACACCACTTTACGGTCTAATTTGTCAGTACAAATCGCATAAAGCGGGAGGTAGAATGCTAACCTGTGAGCCAGAGTTGGTTTTCCAAGCACCGGAAATTATCCGCAAGCGCGTTCCCCAGCCACACATCGTTTCCAAGATCTCCCGCCGGTGCCAAATCGAGAGTTCGAAACAGCTTCGTGCATATAACGTACGCTGTCCATCCGCGCACGAACAGGCGTTTTTTCCTTTTCTTTGTCGTAATCTCGTCCAAATCCCGGAGCTCAGTATACAGCGGGACGATGTTCTGATACTCTGAGAACCTGTCCTCTTTGAAAGAATCCGCATTACCGCCATTGAAATGTGATGACCAAGTCCTGATCTCGCTCATGAGTTTGTCGAACTTCCCGTACACATCCTCATCGCTGGCCTGCTCTCCCAAGAAGGTCTCCCTTTCATCCATGCTAAACTGCATCCGGTTTGCTGAGCGCTGAATTCGCGCAACAAGGTCTTTCTCGTCATTCAGTTCAGCCTGCAATTCGCGAATGCGGTGTTGGTAGTAGGCCACTTCATCTTTATGTCCATCTTTGAGCTGATTAGCACGCTGTCTGTGATAATTTCGGTCATCTCTCAAGCGAATTCCTTCGCTCCGAGCATAACTGAGTTCTGCACGTAGATCAAGCCGTGAGTCGCCGGGTTCGTCAAAGACTCTCTTTACAATCTTGTGCTAGTCTTGTTAGACAGTTACATCATGTTATAAGGCCGCGTAACCCTTACTACACTACGTGTGGCACCACGTGTGGCCCACTCCAGAGGGTTTCGCTCCCGTTCTGACGTCCTACCATGATTATCGCGGGGATCGCTTCCATAAGCTAGAGGTTCACTATATTGTGATCCTTCTGAAAGCTGCTCATGGTACTGCCGGGTAGGAGCTGCTTCGTGGTCAGCCCTGGGTTTCCAACGATCGTAGTCATGGTCTCACCTTTATAGTCATCTCTGGGTGTGGTCACCTGAGTATGATAACTATAGTTCCCCTCTGCCACCGAGCTTCTGCGTCGAGAAGCGCTAACTGTCGAAGCGGTAGCCTCTTGTGCTGCGTGAGGTCCTGGTAAAGAAGCTGGAAGTTGCTCCTGATGCGGATTTGTAAGACTGCGAATGGGGCAAGGACGAGCTTGCATGTCTGACGGCACTGCTACCAAAGCACTCCCATACCCCGCCATATTACGGCCTTCACGATGAAAAAAGGGGACAATGGACGTAGTAGGGGCAGTAGGCAGAGGATGATGGTCATTTTCTGCCATTTCCTGCCTTACGGGGCACTGCAGCCACACAGCCTCTCCCTACAAGGACTTCGCCAGTGGATTTAGCAGAACGCGACCGCATGCATAGTTCCACCACTTCCTTCCAGCTGAAGAGTGCACACCTGAAGACGGCCTAAAGCTCTGCATAGACGAGTTGGGTCGCTTACCCATGCCTACCTAGATCTGCAACGCTAGTCAATCACGCATGTCACGGTGTGCTATCATTGGCTTCGTGGCGACATTCCGCGGGCAAAGTTTCAGGAAGCGGGGAGAGCCGATCCCGTCGATAAGGTCCGACTTATATTGTGTCGCATGGCTGAAAGTTCTGGACTATGCCCAGGCGGCCTTGCGATGCGAGAACACAATTGCGGCTCTTTCAGGAAGACCCCATTGGATCACAGGAGACGCCAACCGAGCCCCTACAAGGAACGTAGAACCAGTGTTTCGAATCAAGTGTAAGTCTGTATATTATGCAAAGAGTAGGGGGTTTCCACCACCAAACGAGATCAGCGCACTAAGGATTGCTAGTGCATCTAATCATCTATTAGGAAGAGGGATCGCCACTAGACCCGAGGTCAGCAAACCATCCAGTAAACATCTCAGTGACACCGGGAGGTATGCCCATGAAGGCCGCCAGTATGCTAATAGTAACCGGAACATAGGGCATCACTTTTGACAGCCCGGACCTCTTCTGCTTGATCTCTTGACGGACCTCAGTACCAACGGGACGCTGGAGACTGACCTGCTGATTCTGAAGCGCCTTCAGCCTCGCTGACTCTTGCTCCCAGTCTAGCCGAACCTGCCGTCTCATGGCCCGATCATTTTCAAGCAAGTCTCGCTTGAGCCTCTCAAGCGAAGCTAACTCATCCTGAACCTGCTGCTTCAGCTTATCCAGGTTATCTTCCACGTAAGCACCTGCTACGGTGGCATTCAAGTCCTTCCCCTCATCTACCAACTCTCTCTGCAGTTGGAGTACCACGTCGTCCCGGGATAGGAGCTGGCTCACAAGGCTGACGGCTGACGGTCGATCGCCGTGGAATCGGCTAATGTTCGATCCATGGCCGACCATATACGCCCAGAATTTGTCCTTCAGTTGCCTTTCACGCTCTGCGCCAAGGGACGGGTCAATTCCATCCCATCGAGAGGTGATCAGAAGAACGTTCTTGAGAGCATCCTGGCCGCACATTTTCTTGAAAATCTCGAAAGTCTTGATTGCGGCTCGACTGTAGCGAACATCTGTAATCCGATGGATGTAGATGACACCTTTAAGCTGCACGCCGAGTTCATATTGCGCGGACAGGATACGGGCGATTTCAGTCAGGATTTCGCTATCCGTACGGTTGGTGTCGTCAAAGCCCGGCGTATCGATCAAGAGCACTTTGCTGTTGCCAATCGTAACTGGTATCCCCTGACACTCCTGCGTGCCTGAATGCAATTAGAACGTCGTTGTACCTGAGACTGCATCTGCTCACAAGGGTCGAGGTCTGGGCCTTCCTGAGCAACTTCTTTGCCAGCGAGTTGATTTACGAAGTAGCTCTTTCCTGCTCCTGTGACGCCCATGACTACGATCATACTAGGGGACTCCTGCTCATCTTTCCTGGCCATCATCTTTGCTTCCTCTGTTGAGCAAAGATACACAGTAATACGAAACTGACAAGAATTCGGGTGTGGGCAACGTGTGAATGAAGTGAGCAATAACGATGGTTTCTCGCACAAGAACGCAGCTTCTCAGGTTTAGGTATCAACTTCCATGATGATATGTGACGACTCTTCTAATAGAGCTACCTGTTTCGTGAGTTACCGAAACACAGCCTTGACGGAATTAGCGCATCAGCTGAGCCGCGTTCGCAGCAAAGCTGAGGGAGACGAGCGTTCCAGCTGACGCCACGACACTTGCTGGAATGGGTGTCTTGCATGGTAGCGATATTGAATATGCAAGCCTGGCATTCAGAATCACCTCTAGAGTTTTGGTGGCGGCCGTGGATGTTCCCTGTTGGCTTGTGGGTCCCGAGGTCCTCCATCCTGAAGAGGCTGAGAATCACCATTTATGGGGTCTATCCAGGTCCCCTCCAAACCATGTTGAAAGCTGTCGAGCCTTTTCGAATCTCCTATTGAGTATCTTTGTAGCCCAACACATTACCAGTTTTGAACAATGGCATCAGAGATCGTTGTTGGCATCGATTTTGGCACAACGTCAGTTCTTCTACTTCATGGCACAGCATGATAGAATGAGGCTAACGTGCTAAAGCTATTCGGGAGTATCATGGGCCATCAACGGCGGCAAAAAGACCATTCGAGTAGTCAATGACTGGCCGAATCCTGTCTCGACTGTCGCGACATCAGACAAGGTGCCTTCGGCGCTATCATACCAGGATGGACAACCGTACCACTGGGGCTATAAAGTCGATTTGAAAGAGCAGTCTTTGAGCTGGTTCAAGCTACTGCTCGATCCAAAGAACAAAATTGGCCAGGGTTCAGACAAGGTTATGGGTCTTATCAAGCAACTCGCGACACTCAACAAGAGCCCCGAAGATGTTGCCGCCGACTACCTCCGACTGCTCTGGCAGTACACTAAGGAAGATATAAGAAAACATCGAGGAGGCGATTGGGAAGAAATCTATAAAGTCAGGGCCGTTCTTACCGTGCCTGCTATATGGTCCCCCGGCGCTCAAGATAAGACCTTGAAGATCGCACGCAAGGCTGGGCTGCCGGATAACATCTCACTCGTTAGCGAACCAGAAGCTGCCGCGTTGGCAGTTCTCAGAGAGAAAAGGGAAGATGGTGAACCTCTTCGGGTTGGAGACTGTTTTGTAGTCTGTGACGCTGGAGGTGGCACCGTCGATCTCATCAGTTACAAGATCTGTTCACTCAAGCCTTTCCAAGTCGAAGAGTGCGTAATGGGTGATGGTTCGTACAGGATTCACCAAACTTCCTTTGTGACAACAACTAATTTGGACGACAGGTGGGCTCTGTGGATCTGTCTATCTCGATCAAGCATTCGAGATAACCATCAGGAACATGGTTGGCGAGACACAATGGGAAGAGCTCAGGCTTAAATCCAAGCGAATGATGATGCACGACTTTGAATATTACATAAAACGATCTTACGCTGGAGATAAGCAACCATACTCCGTCGACTTGCTAGATGTGAAGGATAACCCTGCCGAAGGCATAGACAATGACACAATCACCCTGAAACCGTAAGTATGACCGCCTCTGCATGTACAAGTCTTTAATAACAATCACAGCACAATGCTCAAGACCATCTTCGATCACGTCATAAATCAGATCATGCGATTAGTCGAGAAGCAAATCGACGAGGTAGAAGACAAAGGCAGCAACGTGAAGGTCAGTCGAAGCGAACTTGAAAACTCCTTGAACACTGACTAAAGAGACAAGGCAATCTTACTTGTTGGTGGCTTTGGCACGAACCGGTACATGCATAAGAGACTCGATGAAGCCCATAAGACAACTGGCATTCAAGTTCTTCAGATTAACGGGGGGTAAATTGAACCTGCAAAGATCACTATAGCATCTTGCTGACAAGCTCAGATGGTCGGCAATATGTCGCGGCGCAACAATGTGGGGCCTCGAGCATTCACAGCAAAACCCATCTCCAAGGAGGACTGTAAAATCGCGCATCGCACGATATAGTTACGGCATAGTGTGCACGCTTCCATTCGACGAGTCAAAAGGGCACTTGCTCCGAGACAGAATACGAGGCTCAAGAGGAGAGTGGCGAGCAGCCAACCAGATGAGCTGGATGCTTAAAAAGGGCGAGAAGGTGGAGGAAGGTCGACACATCCACCAACCACTGACACAAGTTGTACCAGTGAATTTGGAGGGCACAGGGATGTATAATCTCTGGAATGCGTTATGGTACTGCGCTGATGACGAACCACCGGAGAGAGCGGAGCTCAGTAAGTCTATTCACAACAACGTTGAGAGGAGTCGCTAAGCATCACGCCAGGTGTTAAGGAACTGTGCAAGGTCGAGTACGGTATCAAACGCTCGAAATTGTGGCAGGAGCCGATCTACAAGAGCCCGTTAACGGGGGAGAGATGGAGGGACTCAACCTTCGATCTTTGGATCCGTTTGGATCAGACGACCCTCGAGTTCTCTGTTAAGTACAAAGACGAGAAGGTTGCTTGGACGGAAGCGAAGTACAAAGAGAATTTCTGAAGGAACTCGTTGGCGTCACATTCCTTCGAGTTGGACGTTAGATCTGTCGACGACGCCCCATGGACAGTAATCGTTAGCGCTCTGATAACGCTAAAGTCTGGCTCCCGAAATGACGGCGATGCGATGGCCCTCCAAAATTCCAGTAGTTTCTTTTCTTTGTTGCTTGCATACACTCAGTCTACATTGCAGCACTAATTGTGTAGCTGATGGAAGAACTGACGAAGCAGGCGCTATGTCCGCACTGCATGGCAGAAGAACATGAACATCTATGAGTCAAGAGTGAGAAGGCGCAAGTGAAGGAGTCACATAGGAAGAAGTTACAAAGCAAAATAGTGTGGGGGAAAGAACAGCCACAAAGAGAGCCGCTGCACACTAAAAATCTCTTGCGTAGTAAAATGCAGACGAAAAAGATGGCATCTCCTATCTACATACAGCTCTGACTGCTATTCTGCTTGAGATTTTATTCTCTTTCTTCTTCTTCTTCTTCTTCTTCTTCTTCTTCTTCTTCTTCTTCTTCTTCTTCTTCTTC